TGGGGCGATTTCTTTAAAAGAAATAAAGAAACAAACACGTCTAAAATGTCTTTACTACATTACGCTTACAGCAGGTAATTCATTTAATAAACTTTATTAGTTTTTCCCCAGTGTAAACAATATGTCACTCATAGGAATCTAAAACAAAAACTGTTTATGGATCGTCTGCTTATATACCACAGGCTAGACATGGCTAAAATGGATTTAAAAATGATTAAAGGGTCCATCACCAACAAAACCAGTAGATGCCTCAGTTATTCATATACTGTGTGTGCCAATTCCTTCCACTACAATCAGCGACAACCATATCCACTGAGTCAGAGCCTCTAAATTGATAGAACCTAAGACTTCGAATGAACTCCTGTGCCTCGTGATTGTGTGTGGTCTGTGTTAGATCTCATAATTACTCGTAGAGTGTTAATTTATTTGTATTGCAAACTGTGAATCATACTGAAATAGCTTTTTTAGATAGGCTTTTAAATACTTATTTCAGAAGCTTGTACATACTGAATGATTGCATTAGAATACTTCTACTCTGTTGGGGCACCATAGATGTATGTATGCAGTTTTGGGTAACAGCTGTGCATCTATAAAAGAATTAGCAACACATAGTGAAGTATTGTTACATATATAAAGATTAGCGCTACAATTGTTTGCACTCAAAAGATAAATGAAATACGGATGCATTACGGTGCTTCCGCAGATGTAGATTAAGGGACTAGAGAGGGAGCACTCTAAAAGCAGAATCTACAGGTCAACAGGGGTAGATGTTAAATGTCCATGTACCACAACTGCCCTTGTTGAGATCTGTAAAGATTAGAAGGCTTGAGGAACGAAAGAAAAGCTTACAGTTTGATTTCACGTTCATGTCTAAAACAGTTACAATGTATTGTTTTTATAAGTTTGCCTTTTTCTATATTAACAATGAAAATATCAGAATATTGCCTTGTTTCCACTGAGCGGATCTGTTCGGGTCGGTTCGGTACGGTACGCTATTTTGAGTGTTTCCATTATGAAAGTGGCCCATACAACCGAACCGTACTGCACGATTCACGGACCTCCTTCAGATGTAGGGCCATAGAAAATGGTATGGTACGCTTAGGGCGGAACTACTTTCATCACACTATACAATCCATTGATTGGGGGATAGGAAAATGTCAATGTTCACGACAAATGACACTCTAGGCATTTTTTCTAAACCCTGCATGGCCCCTGAAGGTCTGACTTGCAGTGGAAACGCTCACCTGAATAGGCTGGACCAATCTAAACTTTCCAAACTGTACCGACCTGAACCGTTCCGCTCAGTGGAAACGAGGCATTAGCTCCATATTAATTTGGTGAATAGGCTCAAAAGCTGCAAATTATAATAGAATTCACAACCAAGAAAATAAAGGCACCTTTTTTAAACCTTTCAAAAATTATGTGTGTATACATTTTTAATTTAGAATAACGCTTATCCAGTTTTTCATTTAGTAGCAAAGGATTGAAGTAACAAGGTTCTGCTTAGATGAACATAGGCATGCAACATCAGCTTTGATGGGGCAAGGTTCCAATATTCTGTTTAGATGGACATTATCATAAAAAGAGCCCTGAAGGGGCAGTTGAGTTTATGCTTTGATGGCCAGTCCGTTAAACCTTCTGCTATTTAAATGTGCCTAGGGATTTGGGGTAGTGTGCAGGTAACTTTTTGGGGAATTTTGTTCTATGTATTTGGGCTGATAAATACTATAGCCATTGCTGCCACCCAAGAGTAGTGGGAGATTAAGTGCTTAATTTAGTGTGGTTGTATTTGATCTTCTAGCTGAAAGCAGCAAGGTAATTTGTTAGTGTAGCATCATTTTTTCGATGTAGATATCAATCACCATGAATATTTACCTGATGTATTTTGGCATTTCACCCTCTTATTTATGTTAGCCTTAATATATGCAATTTATTACAAAATTTATTATTTTTTTATATAGTATATTTTTTTTTTTTGACAGAGAGCAGGGGCCTCGACGGGACATACTTGTGTATTAGGGAGGATAGGTTGGAGCAGCATTATGTAGGGACTTGTAAGCACGCACCAGAATCTTGAATTGAGCTGTATATCTAACTGGAAGCCAGTTTAGGGACTGACAGATGGGGGAGGCGTGGGAGGTGTGGGCGGACAAGAAAATGAACCTCGCAGCATTCATTATAGATTGCAGTGGTGCAATCTGGGAACACGTAAGACCACTGAGAAGGAGATTGCAGTAGTAAAGGCGAGAAAGAACAACGACTTGGATCAGCACCTTAGCTGTGTCTGGTGTTAAATAGGGGTGGATGCTAGCTATGTTTTTGAGATGGAAGCAGCAGGATTTGGCAATCAACTGGACATAAGGGGTAAAGGAGAGGTCAGAGTCAAAGAGAACACCTAGGCAGTGAGCCTGCGAGGTAGAGGTGATGGTGGCGGCGTTGACTTAGAGGGAGACAGACACGGGAGTAGCAACACTTGAGGGAGGAAAGACAAGAAGTTCTGTTTTGGACAGGTTGAGTTTAAGGAAGTGAGCAGTCATCCAGTGAGAAATTACAGAGAGGCAGTCAGAGACACGAGTCAAGATACCTACGTCTATCCTCTGTCTGTACTCCCCATCTGATGCTCATCTCCAAGACTTCTCCAGGGCTGTACCTTTTCTGTGAAACTCCCTTCCCTTCTCCATTAGACTTTCATCCAGTCTCCACTCCTTCAAAAAATCTTTGAAAACACACTTCTTCAGGAAAGCATATATTTAAACTATTAGCTGGTTTTCATTCTCCCTCCCCTCGCCCCATGACTCCTCTTCTGCAACTGTCAAAAATAACCTAAGTTCTCAGTGAATACTTTTCTAGCAACCTATTTCATTACCCCTACTTATTCTTTTTGTGTCACTATACCCCACTCCCTCTAGCATGTAATCTCATTGAGCAGGGCCCTCAACCCTCTCTGTTCCTCTGCGTCCATTTGTCTGGTTACAATTATGTGTCTGTTAGTACATCCATTGTACAGCGCTACGGATTTTTCTGGCGCTATATAAATAATAAAATAATAATATTTATTCCTATATTTTACAAATAAAAGTATGTATTTTTTAATGACCTGCTATTATCACAGTATTGGCCGCTTACTAGGAAACACTGGACCAAACTGTGGATTTTGTTACCCTTGTGAAGCAGATATGTGCTCACACTTAGTGGCAGGTTTTTCACTCTACGTCATGTGAGTATATATCTGCACCAATTTTTTTTTTTTAAACAGTATTACACTATATATTCTCCAATTTTGTGGCTTACAACTTATGGGATATTGCGAAAAAGAGTAAGGAATCACACAAAGCTGAAGAGAAACTATAGGCACCAAAACCACGTCAGCTCATTGAAGTGGTCTGCGTGCAGTACCCCTGTCAGTTTAACCCTGCAATTGTAATTAGATAAACTGCAATAATTACATTACAGGCTTAACTCCACCTCCAGTGGCTGTCTACCAGTTGGTTGACGTTGGGGGGAGGAGGTGCAAAGATAAAGCCTGATTATTATTATTTTATTATTCATATAGTGCCAGCAAATTCCATAGGGCTGTACAATGGGATCCAGCGCCAAGGGACGGTGCTGGATTCAGGTAAGTGACAAAAGGGTTTTTAACCCTTTCAGCACTGCGGGAGGGGGGCGCGAATGAGGGTGGAACTATAGGGTACTTTAGTGCTAGGAATACAGTTTTGTATTCCTAGCCTATATAATCCCTTTGAGCTATATTATTAATATTATTAGTTATATAGCAATAACTAATTCCACAGCGCTTTACAATATTATGAAGGGGGGGGGGGTGATTTACAATATATGAGACAATTACACAGGGGAGTCTAACCACATGCATGTACACCATTATTTAACATCCAGAGATTGTTTTCTTCTCTTCCTCCCTCTTCTATTTCAGGGTACTACACTGTTGCTGTCTTCTCTTCTTTCTTCTTCTGTTTCAGTGTGCTGCACTACCTATGTCTTCTCTTATCGCCACTTCTGTTTCACATACATAGCAACCCATTGAGAAAAAAACACCTAAATAAAAATACCTAAACAGGCACTGGAGGTCCATTCCACCATAGATTTTATCAGGCATCTGTAATTAAAATCCATTTGCAAGTACAGAAGCTAATTTTAAATATACATTTATAATGATGTGCCCCATTGTTTCTCAAATTATATATTAAACACGTGATGAATGCCTTATTAGTTGAACGCTTATAGTGTTCTAGCCAGATGGGTTGCAAATGTAGGAGGACAATTTTTAAGAATTTTATTTTCTCATCTTTGTGTTTTTTTAGTGCAGTATTAATGGACCACTGTGCATGTAAATTAATCCTATGCAGTGCAGTGATTATGAATATATATTACCTATACAGGGAAAATGTGTTAGCCTTTTTCCTGCCCATTGGTCACCATCAGAGAGGCGGCAGAAACCCCTCTCACTATACGTTTTAGTTGGTACATTTGCAGTTCTATTATGAGCATATGTACAGGTGAGGGTCACGAGAAAAAATTAACCTTTTATTTACTTTTTGTTTTATTGATTAGTTGGCATTTTGTTTTAACAATTTTCTGCAGGACAAGCGGATTTTCCACTTCTCTTTCCTCTCCAGTAGAAAATGGGTTAACACTCTAAAACTGCAGCAAAAAGCTCTGAATGACACAAGCCTCTATCACATTTTGATCCTGGAATGTACTTCTGGAGTGTCACAAAAATAGGCGTTAACAAGGCTAAGAGGGGAGGAGAAGGCAGATGAGATCTGTGCTTGAAGTTAGTTGGTATTGTAGTCTGTACTAATGCTGCTGTGGAGCTGGGATTTCACTATGACTGAGATTCCCTCTCTCTCCTCTGTGTCTGTCTTTGTTACATTGCATTCACTGTATCTCTAAATACAGAAAAGTTCAAGGCTTTGAATCCAAGAATGCCATCAATTTCAGCATGCTGACGATATGCTCTCTGTGTCCTTTTTGCAACAGATATGATATCACATTTCTTGCAGAAGATGGATTATTTTGTACTGTTTATGTGGACTTTACCTGTCACTTTACTCAAGTGTACCTCTATGCAATTTTTGACAATCCTATGGATTGGATGCTTAGACAAGGCAGGTTATTTAAATATATATTTTAACATGTATTAATTTATTGCATTTTATTTTTATTATTATCACTACATTTATTATTTGTTTTATTTCAGACTTTTCAACTCTGCTGCCTCTATTGTGTGTCATTCGCAGCATCCTTAAACGGTGATGGCGAAATTGGCGGTTTAAATCACGGTTTGTACATAGTATTGACATTATTTTCCGTGCATGTAGTATACATATATTTATTCCCAAAACATGCTCACTGACTATGTAGAACTGTTGTTAAAAAAAAAATCAGGGATCTTTTCACTAAACAGTGATTTGCGGTGTGTTGACAGTCATATTGCAAGAAAAGGCTAAAATTTAATAGTTGTAAAAAAAATTTAGAACATTGTTGAATTATTATTTTATATTTTTTTAAACTGGAAATGTTGGCATACATTTTTGGAAGTGATTGATAAGTAGTCAGCTCATTTAACTGTTTAGCAGATAGACCCCTATATAAATAAAATGTTAGTTCAAATTTATTAGCGGGTAAATATTGAAATGTGTCACTGTTTCATTTAGGGGGTACAGGTTCCAGTAGGTACCACTATGAAATATTTGTGCATACCCAAAGATTAAAGAGCCCTGGCTGTACTACATATGACTGAACATAAGGCTATAAAATAAGGGCCATTATATAGGTATGCAATAGAACAGGTATAAAACCTTTAATGTTTAACCCTCTAGGGTACCATTTTCTGTTGGAATTTTTTGTCACTCTGCGTATCATTTCACATTTTTTATGGTCACATCTGTTTGTATGGTCTTGGGGTTTTATACAGCTGCTTTTTATTACCTATGCATTTGTTCTATAATTTAAAGATTTGACTGCTCACAAATCGGCATTTTTATTTATGACGCAACAAATCCATATTTTCTCGGCCAAGAGCAGGAATCCACTCAAAATATTGAATAACCATTGTCAAATCTTGAAGGGAAACTGTTGTTAAAGTGGTTTTGTCCATCGAAATATTATTTCCATAAATCAAAATTAAAACAATATTACCAACAGATGAATGCTATTTTTTGACATTTGACATTGTAGTTTCCACTTCTAGTTTAGTTTCAATGTGGAGGTGTTTATCTTAAATTTCATCACATCACTATAAGCACAATGACATGACAGCTGTTGAATGCTGGTTAAAAAATGTCTGCACAGACCATGTGATGTCAGCAGCCAATCAGAACCTAGGATTTAAACAGTGGAACTGATATGCTCACATCATTCCATTGTATAAAAAGAGTATGTCCAAAACAAGTCCAGTTTGGTAACAGTTACAAGGAGAATAGTTTCCATGTATCGATACTGTCACAGATAAGCAAAACAGCATTGACATCCATTTTAGCAGACATGGTTTCCCATTTCACCTGTTTGTGTTTACTTCCTGTGCAAGGAGCATCTGTAGTAGATGAATAGTGCACAGAAAAAGGATGACCTCAATCTTAAAAAAAACACTCCCAGACTTTATGTTCTAAATATAAAAATATAAAAAATATACATATATCGAAGTACATATATCGAAGAAATTTCAAATTGTAGATCAAAATAGAAGTACTGGATACATTTTCCAAGCTATGTGTCCAGTTGGTCTGTTTTAGCGTAAAACGTTCACTTTGAATTCTTTACAATTCACACCTTAGTGAATACTACTGCAAAAAAAAAGTGTTGGGTAGATTGTTAAATATATTGAGAGGGCTGAGAAGGCTGAGAGGGCTACTCATATGAGTGTTAATTGCTTGGAATTAAAACTGACTTTAAAGTAAAGTTCAGTTGTAAAGCCAAGATAGATGAATTTAAAAAAATCAGCCTAAAATTCACTTCAAATTCCCTTTTAATTTCCAGTAATTCCCATTTTAGCGAATAAAACTGCAATAAATATTTCTGTTTTATGAGTAAATACTGAAAAAAATACTCTTTAACACTGTCTAATCTGCTAGTTCAATTAAAATGTAAACAAAATGGCCTCCCCATGTCAGGCAGATTTGAGAATTGCTCTGATTAGTGTTAATCTTGACATTGTGTTTATAAACAGTTTACTATTCTGTTTAATTGAATAATAACAAACACAACACAAAATCAAACAAAACTAACAAAAAACAACGTAAGTCTATCTTAATGTTTTCAGGTTTTGTATGGTTCACTAATTTAAAACATTTCTTTAATCAAAAACAAGCAGTTTTTAACTTTATATATTTTTTTCTTTACTCAAACACAGTTTTTTTGTCTGTGTAACCCTTTGCTAACAGGATTAATTTACTGTCAAGTTTAATGACTAGGCCCCACAGCGGGGCTGTAAAATCCAGCCCTCTCTGTGATATAATGAATTAATGACAGGTCTAGAGCATGCTATCTGCAAGGCTTTTCAGGGTTGCAAAGAAAGTGTCTGCTCCTGCAGATGTTGTTTCCTGCAGCCTCAGTCTGATGGGTTTTGGGAACCTCTGCTATTCATTTATTTTACCATGAGCAAAGCCCTTGATGTATTATTGAGTAGTATTACTAATCATATATAGGTCTCCACTGCTAGTTCAACTCAGTAGCTCCTTTGGACATGCAGTTTATTCCCCTTTAAGCTATAAAATGGTACTGTGTTGACAGGAGGCAACGGTGTTACAGAACGGAGCTAGATATGTACCTGTGAGAAACAGGCGGAGGAAAACTTGTATTATTGTGGAGAGTTGCACTGAAAAGTTCTCTAAATAGAGCAATCTCCACAGAAGCCAACTGGACAGTTTATTTGTTGCCATGGTGACTGCATCACGATTACAAATTTTGTACAGTTTTCTATTGACAATATACTATAAACCCCCCCCCCTACACACACATTTTATTTAAGTAACACAACGCTGTCCAGATGTGCAACTCCCACCGTTACCAACATCCATCAGCTGTAATCCTATGTTAGAACCAGGTGGTGATTGATTACAATGGGAATTGTAGTGTAAGAGGTTTGGGGGCCACAGCAGCCCAGCATTACAATGTTGGTTACAAAGGTATTCAGCAGGGATCTGAAAACTCTGGCCCCCTGACGGCTTACAATTCCCAGAATTATTTGGATGTAATAGATGGTCATAGAAGCATGGGAGAGAGAGAACAGCAACATCTGGTTGCAGAGATGTAACTAGAAATCACTGGGCCCCAGTGCGAAAATTGCTTTCGACCCCCTCTCAAGCATCTCATCCCACCCAGTCCCTCCAGGTGTGTCATTGTCTCTGTCCCAGCCCCCCATGTGTGTCATTCCCACCGTTCTAGCCCCTCCACGTGTGTCACTCCATCTGCCCCAGCCCCTCCATGTGTGTCATTCCCTCCATCTCAGTCCCACCATGTGTGTCACTCCCTCCATCCCAGCACGTCCATGTGTGTCATTCTTTCCCCACTACTGTTTCTGTGTGTGTGCACAAGATGCATTGTGTGTTTCTGTGTGTGTGTAAAGGATGCGTTGTGTGTTTCTCCATGTGTAAGGGATTGATTGTGCATGTCTTTGTGTGCAAGGGATGTACATGTGTGTGTGCATTTGTAGGGATGCATTGTGTGTTTATGTGTGTGTGTGTATGTAGGGATGCATTGTCTGTTTCTGTGTGTGTGTGTGTGTGTATGTAGAGATGCATTGTGTGTGTGTGTTGAAATGCATTGTGTCTGTGTGTGTGTGTATGTAGGGATGCATTGTGTGTATGTGTGTGTTGGGATGTACTATGTGTGTAAGTAGGGATGCATTGTGTGTGTGTGTGTGTGTGTAGGGATGCAGTGTGTGTGTAGGAATGCATTGTGTGTGTGTGTGTATGGATGCATTGTGTGTGTGTGTAGGGATGCATTGTGTGTGGTGATGCATTGTGTTTGTGGGAGCGTGTTTGCTCGGTAGGATAGGGGCTATGGGGGCTGGAAAGAAAACATATTTTGTTAATACATATATCAGTTTGGTAACTCAAAGTAGGTTCCTCAGTGCCAAAGCCATAGACTACTCTGGTAGCACTCTGTGGAAGGAAGGTCAGATGTTTTCATATTGTTATTAGAATTTTAATCTAATCTATAATGCTTCAAACTGTGTCTGATTTTGTTTTGTTTTAGCAGGTGTATGGGAATGTGTCTGTCTTTGCACAGATTATTTCCCACAAAGGAGACGATTTAATCCGTGCAAAGTAAAATGCACAAGAATCCCAATTTCCCCCCCCCAAATTGAATCCCCAAAACACTTCACCGAGACTTATGAAAAACGTGGCATATTATCTTAAAGGTTCTGCCAAACTGTGAACATGTTGGATGTATATTTATCAAATTCTTGCTAGTGCACAGAATAAAATTGTATCTAAACTTGAGTTTTCATTTAACAAAGTAGCATAATTGAGGAACCCACAAATTTATAAATCTGTTATATACATGTTACAATATGCAATATGTTACACGCATGGTGGTCGTTCAGCCTTGGTATCACAAAGGTTCTCTTAGTGGTAAAGAGTGCCCCGATGAGATGTTTCTGTTTAAGACCTGCATGGGGTTGCTTTGTAGTGCGAATAGAAGTCTCTCCCACCTCTGATACGGCAGCAACATCAGTAGAGTGTATTGCAGATGTTTACAATAGCGTGCCCGGGCAAACACTGCAGTTAAGGTTTTAAACACTGGATTTTCCTTTGTAAATCTCCCTTTTAATCCTCTATCCATTTGGGAGCTCCAATTGGAGAAGGGATAATCACTACAGCCTCCCGCTGTTGACAAATCTATGATAAATGACAAAATGAGATTCCTTCCAGTTTAACATATCCTTTTCTGTACACCAAAACAAGACCAAAACATCATCTCATATTGCCCCAAGCACATAGTCTTCATTGATTTCAAGTCTACTGTAGTATGTTTGATATTGCTATGATAAAGACTCTGTTTACCTTTCCCCAAATTTTACCTACATGTTAATTAGCTATTACTCATGGTAGCTTAGTTGTCTTCAAAGAGGCAATGCAACAAAAATTCTGATCTTTGCTGCAGAATTAAAAGGAAACTATCACTTTTTAGATTTTTTTAATATTATGTTTATATATCCCTATATTTAACAAATATATTTTTGTGAGGTGCGAAAAATACATTTAAAATGGGAAATCCATACTTCTTTATTTTACAACTGGATGTTGCCACCTTAGCCTCCTGTCAATCATTGCTACAAGATCTGTCCTTTGCACCTGGCAGTCAGAATAGAGAAAGCTTCTTCTCCTCATATGCAATGTTTGCTGTGGCTTTGCCTTGTCTAAACTGTTTTTAAATGGTATTTGCTAAATATTTAATATACATATAAATATAATATAATTATTTAATATAATATTAATTAATATAAATTTAAATGACAACGGGACATCAAGGTTAACACGTTACAGGCAATTTTTAATGTTTGTGAACTAAAAATTCTGCATGTAGCTTTTTCTCTCGTTGTCCATGGTTTAGAGCAGGGATTGGCAACCATCAGCATTCCAGATGTTTTGGACTTCATCTCCCATAATGTTCTTACACCCATAATGCTGGCAAAGCATTATGGGAGGTGTAGTCCAAAACATCTGGAGTGCCGAAGGTTGCCTATGCGTGATTTAGAGGATCCTCATTGCCGTCAAGTTTTCTCTGTTCATTATCAACGCAAGACAAGCCGATCGAAAAGGCCTGGTAATGCAAGAAACAACTTTCCTTTAAGGGATTTGCAGACATGATAACATTTCGATTTTTAAAATTAATTACTGTTGCCAAACTTAAAATATAGTAAAATATCAAGTTGGTATGTTGAAGGGGCACTTTCAGGATTATGTGAATAAAGCACCGAAAGGGTTGATGACGTTTCCCAGAAGTTGACCTTGGGTGACAATAGTGAATCATTGTCGAACTGTAGAAATGTCAGGAAGTAGCTTTAGTTTTGTTCTCTAGACAGTGAAGCTGTAGACTTGACATTCGATGGGAAGAATTCACAGAAAGATTGTCTAGAGCCTAGCTTTCAAGCACCGCAGCTGGTCGCCAGATATCCTTAACCTTAGAAAGCCTTAGGATTGTTGCTAAATTGCATCATGGGGAATTTGTTCCGACACAGTGAATGGAAGAATGCTGAGAATATATTGATTCCAAGAACAGTCATGACACTAATGTCATATTATAACCTGTAACATGTACCTCTAACAGTAATATTAATATATTATATAATAGTATGATAGTATCTATAATATGCCCTGTGGTTTCTACATTAACCATGCAATGAAACTGGATATATCGGTTATGTCTCAAGGTTAGACCCAGACAAATAGGATTGTTACTTTGTTATTTCAAGCTATCACTCTAATTACCATAAGAACGTTGCACTATTGCCAAATGGGTGGTGCTTAGAGCACCCTGAGCCCATTTTAATTTCTTAGAGTGGGCTATGGTGGCAACGATTTGTAAAAATCGCTGCTGCTTAGGACACCCTTCTACGTCTGTCACTCAAGCAGCTCCAGAATACCTAAAAGGACAATAATGTCTCAATGAAGTGGTATGGGTGCAGTGGTCCCGCATGTGTAACCATTGGGAAAAAAAACTTGCCATTTTGCAGAAGGGGCAATGTTTGCATTACAGGGTTAAACACCAATCTAGTGGCTGTCATACTGACAGTCACTAGAGGCATTTCTACTGCAATGATTGAATAAAACCCAGTCACAGTACATGGCAGCTCATAGGAAAGCATTAAATCCAATACTTTGCTATGGGAAAGCTTGGTTACATGATTGGCATTAGGTTCCCAATGCTCCTTTTAGGAGCACTGGATTGGACCATCAATGGAAAAGGCCATACCACCTCAATGACATTGCGGGAGGCAGAGAGGTGAGCAGTGCCGAGGAAGTCTCAGCAGTGGAAAAAGGTGAGTTATTAATTTTATAGCACATGGGGGAAGGGGATGTGGACAGGGGATGTGGACAGGGGATGTGGACAGGGATGCTGTAATGTTCAGAATACAGGTTTGTATTGCTAACACTATAGTGTTCCTTTAAGTAACACACCAGCATGGTAAATAAATAAATTTATTTATAATGCTGGTGTGTTGGTGAGTAGTTAACCTACCTTTAATCTTGCAAGAAAGTCTCCTTTCTCCTCTTGCTCTGCTCCACCTCCAGGAGATCAACAGTATTTATGTTCTCCTCAACATCCTATGCTTCGTATAAAGAAGCATTAGGACATAGGGTGCATGTTGTGAGACACAGGGTGCAACGTGGATTAAATCCAATGCTTCTTTTTTAGACTTCTAACACTCTCCTGGCTGCCTGATTGATAGCTGAGAGTTTGCAACGTTTGCAAATGTTTTATTAAAGGGCCACATTCTCTTGAAATAGGTACTTTTATAAAATAAAAAAAGGAAGGTTACTAGATAGGAAGGTAGATACTGTTGATTAATACCAATCTAATTATATGATTTCAGATTATATCTTTGTAACACCTATTGAAGTGGACTCCAATGGAGCTTACATTTCGCATGATACTTTGCACAGTAGCAGGAAAAGAAGATCAACAAAAAGTTCAAAGATTTCGCTACACTATAGAATCTCAGCATTCGGCCAGGAACTTCATTTGGAACTGCAGTCTTCATCTGTTGTATCGAAAGATTTTGCTGTGCAAATTTTTGATAAAGATGGATTTTCAGCAGATGTGGAGCAGAACTTGGATCAATGCTTCTATCAAGGATTTATCAGAGGCCATACAAACTCGTCTGTTGCCATATCTACATGTGTGGGCATGGTAAGTCATTTTAAATACTTCTTAAAAGAGAACTAACCTGACACAGGGTGCAAAAGTTTATATCAATTTTAAGACAAATCCTTATGTTTAAACGTGTGGAAATATTTTTCTTGTTTAGTGTATTGACCATCTGCCACAGAATGACTGATACATTTGCTATGGTCATAAAACAATCATATAAAATGAATGTCCCCATAACTAATACAATGCAAATTCAATCCTTATGCCTTAAAAAAATATATACATTTCTTAAAATCATAGAGGAAAGCACCAACATAACATGTTAGATAAATGGTACACTAATAATATAATTGTTTTGATTTATTGATATTCATGTATGCTTTTTCTCTCATACTTACATTAAAAATAAAGTTAAACATACATTTATGCATCATGCTAGTGGGGTAACTAATGTAGAGAGGGTCTTGGTGGAAAAAAAAATGTAGGAGCAGGAGTGGCCAAAACTCTCACGGAGCTTTGTAAACTGTAGATCTTCCCATCCTTGCAGTGTTGTGTGCGTGTCATTTTTTAATGTATATGTCTAAATAACTGATGTCAGAATACAGGAGTGTATTTGAGTCTAGTGTTGGTGTTTGGATGCAATGGAGTGTTTTTGTGGTGTTAGTATTTGAATGCAGGTGTGTGTTTGTGTGTGATGTTGGTGTTTGCATGTAGGTATGTGTTCACATAAACAGATGCACATTGCCACATACAGAAACACACAGACACTGCCACACAAAGATGCAAACAGACACTACCACACATATATGTCCATAGACAGATACCCACTTAGACTCACTCCAAGACATACACACTGACACACACAGATTTGAACACATGAACAGATACACTGATATACAAACACACACATGCACAGATACACACACTAATACACATGCACAGGTATACACACTGACATACATGCACATATACACGCATATTTACACATGCCCAATTATACACTGACACGCATACACCGATAAACACATTGACAGACATGCACATATACTCACACACAGATGCACCCACTGACACATATGCACATATACACACATATGCACAGACATATACATTGACAACATATGCACAGATATACACACATGCATAGAGTTCTGGGGCCCCTGTCTAATCCCTGTGACATAGGTGGCAGCCTAGGGTAGCCTTATGGTTAATCCTGCTCTGGTTCAATATTCTATGGTGTACGAATAAATTCTACGTAAGTTGATTTCGAAAGGCACTGTAGACTCAAATAGGTAAGGAGTGCCAAGTTTTAGGTGGTTTTATGTTATTGTCATGGAGTTTAGTTATTTAACATCTAACTTACTTATTGAAACTCTAAGATTAGAGTATTGGTTATATCCAATTCCATACCTGTTAACCGATTAATATGTTCTTTTTTTATGTCATTACGCTGGTATTTCATGTAAATTCTGACATTTTAATTTGCTACACATAGTACTATGCATGCTGGCTGGTCACCTGTCCAAGCAACATGATGGAAGACAACTGTTGAATTGGCTGAGATTAAATTTTTTTGCATAAAGCCTTATATAATTACTGAATATGATTCCTTTTCTTTGGTGTGAACTGCAGAATGTGGATACCTAGTGCAAACTCTCCTCCCCCTTCTCCCCCAAAATAAAAAACAGCAACAATAAAAATACTCGTACATTGTCAGGCACATTAAATTTCAGTAAAGAAGTGGGAACCAACAGTGTATTTTGGCAAGTCCAAGAATTGGCAAACATTATGGGAGACATGGTACACAGCTTCTTCTGGAATGGCAGTTTCCACATCTCTTATTTAGGGCACTAAAAGGCTTTGAACTACCCCTAATTACAGGTATACCCTAGAGCAGGACTAGGCAACCTTTGGCACTCCAGATGTTGTGGACTACATCTCCCATAATGCTCTTACATCCATAATGTTGACAAAGCACCAGGGGAGATGTAACCAACAACATCTGTGTTGCCGAAGGTTGAACACCCCTGTCCTAGATTATGGCTTAGAGCAGGAGTAGGGAACTCTATATCTTGTGGACTATGTCTTCCATAATGTTCTTACAGCTATAAAGTTGGCAAAGCATCACGGGAAATGTATTTCATAATATCTGGAGTGACGCAGGTTGCCTACTCCTGGTTTAGAGGTTATTAGAGCTTACTTGTTATACTAAGACTTTAAAGTAAATTTCAGATTTAAGGCCAGAATAGCAGAAGTGAAAGGATAGGTGAATTAGATAATTTCCCAGTTTTCTATTTTGACCTTAAAGAGATTGACCTCGAATTCTCACTTTAGTTAATTAACTTGTAAATGTGTTACAGCCCTTACTTCCTGTAGTCTATAGCAGATGACTAGTTTTTTACTTCATCAAGGAAGTAGTTTTAAAAGAAAGATGCTTGTGTGAACAATTTGACACTAATGATGCTTTAGTTAAGAACAACAGAGGGTCGTCGGCTCAGCTGGCAATAGGTAAAGGGTCTGTCTTACTGAATGGGCCTGGAGCTCCATTGACACCTCTCATAATCCATCATCTATGTCAGTGGATGGAGGAGATGACCTATCTAAATAAAAATAAACCCCTTGTAAGGAACATCTTCATTTATTTTTCTATACACATGTTAGGCCCATTTAATTAATAATAAATAAATATGGACAGGGCTGACAGCCATGTTGTGAAGTTAAAAACATGTGGGAAAAAAATAATAATATTATATGTTAAATGAGCAATGTATTCCCAAAATCGCCTTTTTGAAGTGACAGTAGCTCTAGCATTACTTCTTGGCACAGCATCCCACAATTAGAAACCTCTATTCCCCATCTGAAGTGAACTAGAGAACTCAGAATCCTGGTGGTGCTGGTGTGAGAGATATGCCTGATCGCTCTGCCTCCAGCCTGCCAGAAATAGAGCCTTTGTGATTGAGCCCTGCCCAAACCCTGCCCAACTCTATTCAGTGACTATCATCGTTGGGTCCAGTAAGGAACCTCTTTTGTATCTAACTTAAGACCTTACTGAGGTCCCAAGGCCCATGGCCCTGCAATATGGAGAAGCTTAATGATACATTTTACAACTTTTGGGTGGAACTAGCCAGCAGAAACAGCTCGCCAAACTTTATACCGACAGGTAACTTACCTCAATATTCACGCTGTCCTGTTTTTAATCTGGTGAAGTCCTCTGCTTGACAAGGTAGGCCAGAAGAGATCTGAGGGCCTATTGATAAGTTCAAAGTGAACATTCGGACCTGGTTATCTCAAAAATCACATAGGCCAAAATATTATTTCCCCGGCTGGCCTGAAAAGCATAGAGATGTTGCCTTTTCAGAATTACTGTGATTCCCGCTGTGTAAAGACTCAAGGCATTGTTCCCAATGCATGACTGGAGACCTTGCCATATTCTGGAAAGGGCCACCCCACTGTGGGACTGTGATGTGCCTCATAAAGGGGTAAAATAATCGTCAGTGGGGGGCATGGGATGCCATGCTATTTTAGAGGACATTCCTACAACAACACCTAATCTGCTTTTGACTGTGGTTCATTGATCTTTGCTTTTGATGCTATTATTTCCTATTGTATTTGCTTTTTCATTTACCTTTACTATGCTCCAATGTCATATGTTTTTATCTAAAATTCTCTCACATTGCAAGTCTTATGCATGTATATTCATATTCTATGACGTTACTGTGACGTTAAAAAATCAATGAATAATCAATTTATATGTAAACAGATTGCCCTTTAATATAAGACAATATCATCAAAAATCCTTGATAATAATTAGAGGTTCTTTAAAGCAATACATTTGTGGCAAAGTTGAAAAAGAAGCTCTTCTGTCGGAGTAATGCAGGTCTTTGGAATGTTGCATTCCTTGTATTTGGTTAGCACGAGGGAGAAGATGTAGCACGCTATCCAGTTACATGTAGTTAACACAGAACAACCTATTTAAAGACAATGAATATAAATTTTTTCCGGCCACCTACAGTCTTTAAAAGCAGTTACAAGGAAGGATTGACAGATGTCTTATTAATGAACAAATCCAGGTAATTTTAGCTGAAACGGTTTTGTTTCTATTGAATGTCAGTTATTCATGGGACAAAAAGAAACACTTTAACCCCTTAAAGGGACACTGTAGGCACTTTATCTGCTGTATTTCATTAAGCTGATTATAGTATCCAGAGTTTCCAAGCTCCATAATTTCATTCAGCATTAAACAGTTTTTCATATTTTTATGTTTCAATGCTAAATTTAATTCCCAGCAGCCCCTCCCCTCTGTGCTGCTTCGGCGAATGAGGAAGTACTAGCATGAGCAGCAATGGGCAGCTATGATTGGCTGAGAGTGTCAGCTGTCTGTTTTTAGCCTTTCAGAGCTCCAACTAACGCTATGAAGAGTATGACTTCAAGGAAGTGTGTAATCTCTGCCTTGGCCACACCTCCAGAAGAGGCCAGACTGTGGGTGGCCTTGATTTCTTATTTAGTGTTAAACTGCTCTAAAATGGTTTAACATTGTATGGAGAGACAGTGCCATGAGATTCCAGGCATCATAACCAATTCAAAGAGATTAAATTATTATAGTGAGTTCAGTGTCCCTTTAAGGACACAACTTCTGGAATAAAAGGGAATCATGACGGAATATTTCCGTCATGTGTCCTTAAGGGGTTAAATATAAAGTAACAGGCTTGTGTGGATATCTAACCTGATAATGTGTTTACACATTAATTTATTCTTATCTATTTATTCAATACCAATATATATAAAGAGTAAATCTGGTCTGTTTGCCCCTTTGAAGCATTAATGGGTTTCATTTCAGGTTGAGAATATCATTCCAAGGTTGAGAATATCATTACCCTTGAGTTCAATATAATAATACAGAACTTCTAGAACTTATAACATTGTTGGAAACGTGCAATTTCTGCAATAGATTAAAGCTCAGTAAATCCTTAAAAATCATTAGCCGTTGTCTGTTCATGGGACATCAAAACAATGTAATTGATTATATGTCAGTTTTATTTTAACATGTGTTATCGTTTTAAATGCAAATAACCTTCTACATGTCTATGGAATAATATTGAAAATTGCTGTGGATAAATGGTTGCGCTAATATTCCAGACATGAGTCCTTGAATTATTATTTGTATTATTATTATTTACTATTTATTTTTTTGTGGCCACGCAAACTACTATGCTACCTTAATACTGTTGTGCACTGTCTGTTGAACATCTTTTTCTAAAGTTGGTTACCAAAGCAGATCTTTTAATAACTTTATTTTATATAGCACTAGCATATTCTTCAGATTACACTTTTAAAAATATTGTATTTCTTAACCAAGGACACTTGTGATAACAGTAAGCCACAATATATTAGTGTTAATGAAGTGTGTGTGTGTGTGTTACTGTTAGTATTTATATTCATGTTAGAGTTACGGTTCCTGCTGCAGAAGAGGGCTTCTTAGAAAGGTCCTGCAAGTTAGGATTACAGTGAGATTTAGAGTTAAGTGTTGTTTTACAGCATCAGGATTTAAGGAATGTACAGTTTAGGTGAAGATTAAAATAAAGATTAGGGTTTACTGGTACTTAACCCCAAATTGTATCCTAACCCTAACTCTTAATGTAATAACAAAATTGACCCTAAATGTTTTCTCACTCTATCTCTAACCACAAGTGTCTGGAATCTTCAAGTCATTCCCTAATCTTAATGTTTGCTAATCCTCACGTAACCCTTAATTTCTTAAATCCCTATGGTGTAGCACACCCCTAACCCTATACCTCTCTGTAAGCCTAACGTTACTTATCTTGTAGAACTTCACCGCATTGCCTTCTGCAGCCAGTTTGAGTTCCCGACTGACCAAGTCACAGTTCTCCACAGGCAACCCACGGCAGCAGACTACTGGTTCCTCTTTAGTATTCCATATTCAACCTGTCAACATTTCTAGAAGCGCAAAATAAATAGTCATTATTGCTCTAAAAATCCACACAAAACTGAATATATTAGGCAGCTGTTAATACAGTTAGTCCAACACTGTATTAAATACAATTGGTGCAAATGTAATAATTTAATTAACCTAATTACAGTATTTAAAAAAATATATCTACATTTAAGTCAAGTTTACATTATAGAACACACATGACTAGCAATGTAAATAAATGATAAATGTCGTCCTTTTCGATCACCTAACCCTACGATTTTTCTTTTTAGTTGCAATGAAACAGATCTGCTAATTACCTGATAATCTGCTGTCTTTTGTCTTCACCAACAGTCTGGAAGCTGATTAGCTTTAGTAATTAAAGGCATCCTATTATCACACCTTATGGCGTGTTATTTTGTTATTAAGAGATCTGAACGTTGCATTTAGCTTACCTTCTGATACCAGTTGTGACTCGGTAGCTCAAACTGTCTGTTTAGTGCTTACAGAATTATCCGCATAGAGGCCTTTCCTCTTAGAGTCCAAGTTTAGCCATCATACTGTCAGTATGAACTATATTATCGAGACTGAATAGCCTCGAAATCCCCTTTACACCAATTATTTTTGTCACTTGGATGCCCTTGTATCCTATTTTCTTTGTTCAATGCAATTAAACTGAAAATGGTGTTTCTTTTACTCTGTTGGCACTCTTTACATTTTCATTGTTTCTTTCATTTGCGGTAGCCACCCAACAATAAAATTGCAGTGGCCTGTACTTTAAAGACTCAAATAGCACAATGCGATTTAGAAGAAATTGCATTTCAATAGACTGGAGCCTCCGGAGGGCTTCTTTGATCTAATTTTTGGATGACCCAAAGGATTTAGTCATTCAGAGCTCTGTTGTCTTCTAATGCCTGTATAGAGAACTTTAGAGTGAATGGAATTATTTAGAATTGGCTGTGTGGTTGAGTGATCTTAGACTGACAGTTAAAAAAAAAACAAAAAAAAAAACAACACACACACACACACTGGTTCTTCCATTTCTTTGTCGGAGAATTATGGCAAGAGGCCTATTTCACCCTTACATTGTCCCATTGATGAACATGTAACACAAACTCATCAATTAGATTCTTGTAGCAACAGAAGCACGTAAAATGGATTGGTCTGTTTCAACTCAATTGAACAAGGACCACATTTAAGTGGATATCATAACGCCATTAATATATATATATATATATATATATATATATATAATAAAATATATTTACCACTAGTTATAAACTAAAACAATAATCATTAGATGCCATCTTAAAAAAATAAAAAATAAAAAAGTGTTAGATAAAATATATACAATATAAAATAATTAAAAAATTGATGTCAAATATCCCCATCCTATGATTGCACTGTGAAATATGTTTGCATTATATATCTAATACTTTTATTAATAATAATAATAATAATAGTAATAATGATATTACTTTAACCATTATTGTGACATTTATCAAAACACCTAAAGTAATTTACTAGGATGGACTTTTTTGCTGTCTATGACAAGAAATGAAAAAAACATATTTTACTATTATTCAATAACAAATATATATATATAACAAATAGCAAATATATCCATGATTTAGACAGTTTATTTAAACTTTTTCAATCCTCATCAGTGATCTGTTAGCTATATCAGAGGACAATGATCCTGAAATGTTTCTATGTATTTTTGCATATTTGTACTAGTTTGAATATTGTGAGCATTATAATACAGTTTTAGGAACTTTAGGAATTATTCAATAAAATATAATTCTAAGACTTGGCATTGCATGAGATGCAAGTGCAATTTAAGAATTTAGATAGTCAGAAGGTTTGCCTAGACATGGTAAAGAATGCAGTTTTACTGTAGCATCCCCAGTCTCCCCCTCTTCCTCCTCCCCCCCCCCCATAAATAAATACATAAATCTTCATCTATATAATGCTCAGGTGGATATTTTATTTGCATTTTGCTGCCAAACACTTTCAGATTAAAGGAAAAATGTCTTGCACCATAACACAGTTCCATAAATGAATGGGTAATGTAGCCGCCGACACCTGTAGGAAGCAATTAATGAGTCATCTTAAACAGCAAGTGACATTCAGGTGGCAAAAGCAATTAAATATGGGGAAGTACGCTGGGAAGCAGTTGAAGGATCTCATAAATGTTTTTACAACTGCAAAGCAATGAGGCGGCTTGGAAATTGGAACAGATTTACAGTATTTTACAACAAGAGAAGAAACCATTGTGCCTTTAGTCAAGCTAAAGTGTCACGTCTTCGCTAGTCCCAGCTGAAAACCATTAATAAGATCGTTAATGAAGACAGCAGTTATCACATCCTAATCCACCATGATCTTCCAGACTACTCTTTTTTAATGGGAATACAGCAGTGTGATATTATCTTCTCAATCTACTTACCAATGTATATATTTTTGTACAAACCCATGCAATTATCCAGGTGATATCATAGTAAGCTAAACAGGGCTTTCTATACCTAATAAAGCCCCATGTGTTCAGTATTCTGCACATCCATCTATACTTAAATTTTTTAGCAGTGCTTTCAACAAGTTGAACAAGAGATTATCCAGGGGACGTAACATAGGTCAACTGAGCCTCCATTTCCAGAAGTGTGACCAATGTTGCTTGAAATAGTTGCCTATAATTTACAAATACACAAGTTCACATCAAAAGCCACCTGAGTGATGTTTTACAAGAGACGGTAAAAGAGTTAGGAGTTGTATGTTACTTCCTAAGAGAGCATGAGTACCATTTTCCTGTATGGTTAGGCACGGGCATAAAGGCCACAGTCATAAGAAATTAGTATACTAACATTAAAACTCATAGATTAGAATCTTGGGGCATTTTGTGATATACTGATAAATATCAGATATGCCTTTATTAGCATATATCAGTTCTGCTGACAACTTCATCATCAGAGGCATATGCAAAAAACAGAACAAGTCTCTGGAACTATTTTAAATCACAGCCAACAAACAACAGTAGGGGGTGAGGAAGAAACCGAGGTTGGCCAAATGATTTATAACTTGGTGGCTGTTTGTTATAGTCTTCTTTGATGTGCAGGGTGAGTTGAAGAGATCTCCGAATGTCCCCAATCGGCCTGTGACTGTTGTGGCACATCTAACATTTTTCATTTTCCTAGTAGCCAGTCCATGCCTGCTGCTAACCTGATTTAATTCATAGGGCATTCATCTTTTAAACTGTATTTTGTGACCCCTGCTATTCATTAGGGATATGAACTGTAGAAACCAAAGATTCTGAAGCAACGAGAAAGTTAGGCAGATAGTCAGATATAAGTTGGGTTAGTGTTATCTTCAGAACTGTGGGGGAGGGATTTACTGATCACAAAAACCCATCTACATAAGGACATCATTATGCAATTTAGTACACAGAACTGATGAGCATTTTTTGTTTTTGTTTAATCCAGTAGTGTTTGAAGCCTTCCAAGAAAAATGTGTTTTAGAACCATTGCTTACATCAGATGGCTTAAAAGGATAAAATGTATCCCTATGATTTGGAAATGAGTTACATGTTTAACCCCTTAAGGACCAAACTTCTAGAATAAAAAGGAATCATGACATGTCACACATGTCATGTTTCCTTAACCCCTTGAGGACACATGACATGTGTGACATGTCATGATTCACTTTTATTCCAGAAGTTTGGTCCTTAAGGGGTTAAAGGGTTAACCTTCTCTCACTGTTTGATATTTTCCTAACCATTGAAAGTGACATTAATTAGATTTCATTACAGTTTATTAAAAAGAAAAATACAAAGCTAAGTATTCAGTTTCCAAATTGTGAAAATAAATCTCTAGTATACTAAATCATATTATACAAAATGTGTTTTTAAATTCCTCCAATTAAAATGTAATCCAGGTTAAAAAGTGTAAGTGTTCTATTTACTGTATTAACCTTAATCAGTCTGAAATATGATAAGTTCTAATCGGTTTGAATTAACCATTCGATTAACAATATTATTCAGAGCTATAAAGAACCATAGAAAATACCCAAAGATCCAAGTTATAGTAGAACCATGTCTGTTTTCTTTTTGGTATATTATTTAAACAATGTCTTGACATGACATGACATGTTACAACCAATGACCTTGGAGGATGGGGTGAAGTATCTCATCCAGACCACCTAAAAAGACCAATATAATTTGACCGTTCATTTGTAGAGGATAAGGTTAATTACTGGTCTTAGCCACCAAAACTAATCAATGCAATTATCTCGATGTATCTAATAGACCACAAAGCCGTGGGAACTGATTGACCTGTTAACAGGCAGACACCAAATATCTAGCCAATATTATCATTTTCTTTTTCATGAAAACATATCTGATAGATTGTTAAAATTGTTTATATAAATGTGATACCTAAAAGATTAAGAAAAACATTTTCAAAGTCTGAACTGCTATGTTGATACAACCCTTAAAGTGAGAACTTGGTAATTAAAGTTTAGATAAATACATTTTGTCGGAATATAGGATTTATTTGTTCTTGACATGGGGTCACCCCATTCAGCACCTTGGACAGCAGAAAGAATATAAAGCACGTGGCAAATAGTAATGAATGGTGGTTTTTATTCAAATTCAAGCAAACGGGGTGGTTGAAAAGAAAGATTCTCAGCCCGTGTAGTACTTGTGACGTGAGCTGGCAAAGGATCATAGTTTTCGTAACAGCTTTGGTAAACCTGCATTATATCTCTACATCTTGGGTACAAAACAAGCGTGAAAGCCATTTGTGCTCTGAAAGCCTCGTGTACGCCATATCAGAGAAAACATCTGATCCACGAGAGTTTCTATGTAGTTACTGTAATATTTTGTACTATGTGTTTTGTTTCACAATTTAACAAAAATATTATATACTCAGTAAATATGTGAAGTGCAGATAAAGAATATATGAATGTTTGGAAAAGAAGAATGTTATTTTCAGGAAGATCACTAGTGATCTACATGTTCGTGGTTGTGTGATCTGTAACTCTATGTGTGCACATATTGGAAAACTGTAGCCAATTACACTCCAATTATATACAACAAGCTCCTATGTAGCCCCCATGCACTTAGTTTCTGTCATAAAGTAAATTTGTCCTATTACTCAAGGCCGACTTTCTTTTTCTCAGTATTACCATACAATACAGGCATTTAGAAAACGGTTGTTGTTATTTTTTGTTTTTTTTCTTTGAAAGGTTAAACCAAAAAGAAGAAAAACAAAAATAAAATAATGCAAAGAACAAATTCAGATAGAAGAGTCAGTTTGTGAATTGCTGAATGTACATCAGATATCCCTTGGTATCCCGTGACCTAAACACTGTGAAATATGCAAACTGTCAATGGCATCTGATACATTTATCCCTTAGGCAAGGATCAGTGAAATTTAGTGTGTGTGTGTGTGTGTGTGTGTGTGTGTTTGAAGCTTGGACAAGTGCCCCCTTGCACCCTTTCCCAGAGATGCCTATGTTGTATATATATATTACAATGGATTACAAGTGACTTATTTTTTTTTTATTTTTTTTTACTGATTATAGCATTATTTACTTATATGATAACCTAGAATCAATATCAATATCTAGCTATATGTTCTATTATATTGAATACACACGGGGCAGTTTGTAGTAACAGTACACTTTTACTATGGATTAGATAAAGGATGGGTTCATCTAGAACTGTTTTTGTATTTTGTCTCCATATGTTTCATTTGTGTGAATCCACCGCTTCCGCCTTGCATGCCTCTTCTTGTCTTGATGTTTGCAAACCTTAGAAATGGTTTGAAGTTTACAAAGCTGACAAGTCGAGATGATGTCACAGCTTAGATCATTAGATTTAATACTCCTTTTTTCATGCTAAAAGCCTTGAAAAGAGTTAATCTCTCAATGTGATGCACCATTTACAGATCTCCATTATTGATAACAATGTGTGTTTTGCAGTTACTAATCAGATTGAATTATACACCAAAACCTTTCATGTTCATTGTTAGAGCAAAACTGTACTTAAAATAAAGGCTTATTCTCTGTGAAAGAGCACTGAATGCAATTTACATTGTAAAGTGACCCAATGTCCTAAAATAATATACTGTGTAATACATTTTATTTGTGTGGTGTAAATAGAAGAATTGCGTCTTTTATTTTGAAAATTTATTACTTCATATAATTTGGAATATTGTTTGTAAAAGGGCTTAATTAATTTCTGAAATAGTCCTGAGATCTTGGAATTGGCTTGTCCAGGGCCCTTAGACAGCAGCGAATTGCTATGCCAGTTCGCTTTTACTCTTGTTTAATGCATACACAGATTGCGCATGTAACTTTCACTAAAATTGTTTTGGTATTATATATCATAAATATGGCTGCCATATATGTGGCTGTTAGCTTGAAACAGGCTCTTGGGAGCTAAAATGTTGATTATTGTCCTTAAATAAATCTGCCTTAGATTTTAGCTGATTATGTGCCCAGCCTTTTACTTAATGAATTGATGTTGGAGTGGAGTCATTTCTGAGCTGTTGGCACCGGGGCAACACTATATTTGTGTTCATTTTTGTTTTTCAATAGTAAACTGATTGCTTATTGAAATAAATGTTGGCTAGCTGAGCTTTTCTACTGAAGAACAGCTTGTGTTTCTTCAATACCTCCTAAATTTTAGTAAGATTTGGGCTTAGAAGAAACATAAAATACAATAAAATAAAATAAACATAATAAATACTTAATTCAGAATAAGTTAATCCATTCTCCCAATTTTTTTTAATTATATCATCATTACCTTACCTTACCATTACACAAAAACAAGTACAAAACAAAAAAACAAACAAACAAAAAATATATAAAAATTGCAGTGTAAATGTTTATTTTAAAGATAATGTGAACACTGTATTTAAGTTAGTTATTTATTTTCACGGCTGGCTTCTTACATAAAGATATCACCAAATCGTGATTCACTTCACTACCCAGTGTTTCTGAGTTCTGAAAAGCATCCTACACAGAAACACTGCTTGAGTACTTGTTGTGCAATTTACTTTGATGTCGTCTGTTCACTCATTTGACCCAGTGACAGAGAAAAAGTCATTTCAGGGCTTAGGCATATGAGATGAGAGCAAACAAAATGTGGTCCAAATGTATTTCCTTAAACATCCAACTCTAGGAACCAAATGGGCCTGTATGCCAAATGCATTAACTGTATAGAGTGTTGTGTCCCAAAAGAATGGCCTGGCCACAAACAGATGTTATTACTTTAAATAAAATATTTTCCCATGAAAAACAATGGACATAAACTCAGCATTCCTTCACATCACCAGGTTTTGTGTGTGTACAATATTATATAGTGAATTATAGATTTTAGTGGTTAGTGTATCATTATACATAATATGTTTTCAATGAGAACACTTTTGTTTACATTGATCTAAATTGCTTCTTTACTTCTGTGTATTTTCTGCCCACTCATTTAAACTAGATAAAACAGTCTGCAATAATTGCTTCTATTCTTTGGGTAATTGCTTAAGCAATATATATCTTCACTGAACTGAAAACAAAGGATTTGCAAGTGATTCTGTGGTTCGTTAGTGAGGATTAGTGCATGTGCATTAAATAAACTCTCGACAGTGGTGGGTGACTAAACCCCGTGCTAATCAGAGCAATAGACTTTCCATTACGCTCTTGCTTTCATCTTCGAATAAGGACAATGTGTATTCTACATAATACCATATGTTGACAATATATGAACAGAAAGTGGAATTTAATGTTCTAAGATCTGCTTCTGCACAAAACACATCCAGATTCTGTAGCATAATCCCAGTGTTAGATTTACTTAAAAAACACTTGTAGGAGACAATATTCTATATCCCTGACTTTTTCTGGTGCCATTGATTATGGCATCTCATGATTATATATATATATGTGTATACATGGTCCACAACTCTGAAATGCCATATGGATGTATCATAAATCAAACTAAACAGGCAATGGACGAGCTGTTTTGATTGTTTTGGGGTTCTGTCCATGGTACCAAAAAAATAAATAAAAGATGATTGATGGTGAAAGAAGATGTTTGACGGTAAGAGGATAACTGCTACAACTTGAATTTATTCACAGATCAAGATACAAATATTGGTACAATATATATTTCTTTACTTTGCAGTACATTAATATGCACACTTTTACATCATTTCAGTTACTCCAAGTTGTTTTTCTAGAAACAATTGCACAGATGAAATGATTTCGAACCCACACATCACATGTACGAAATTCAGTCCATCTGAACAAAAAATTCTTTTTGTATGAACTAAGTTTTTTTTTTTTTTGCCATGCACAAATCCAATATACACACATTATTTTGAATTAATTTCTCTGAACAAAAATCATCTTGGACAAGCTACTAGAATTCTGTTGTAAAATTAGCAATATTGTAATCAATTAACGAGTAGGCATGCTCTTTGTAATTTGGATATAATAGATGTATTTAAGGATCAATTATCTGCTTTAATATAAAATATGACAGACAAATGGTAAATTTACTGCAATATAGTAAAGAACTTATTACTCATACTTATTTTGCCTCACGGTATCATATGATATCATATGGTATCATATATAGCAGTAATATGTTGATGTCCTCAGGAGCCATAGAAGGGTTAAGAGTTACTGGACCCTAAACCCTTGCCTTGACCCAATTCCCTTAGAGGTAATGACCCATCTTAAACCCATCTTTTGGGCTGCAAATCCAATTGTTTGGAAAGTTCCCTGTAGTAAGTGATGCACCTGGAAGCAAATAAAACAATATATAACAGATATTTTCACTGTTCTGTATTGGTTTTCTAAAATATAATCCCTCTATCTTAACACAGTAAAGGAGTTTAAGCATGCGTGGGATAGGCATAAGGCTATCCTAACTATACGATAAGGCCATGGACTAATGAAAGTATTTAGAAAATTGGGCAGACTAGATGGGCCGAATGGTTCTCATCTGCCGTCACATTCTATGTTTCTATGTTTCTATCAATTTTGATGCACCCTGTGTAATCCAGGTTGGAAAGTTCCTGAATCGTGTTTTTTTTTAAACCATAGTTCTAGAATAATGTGAGAGACATTGTTATTGTGAATCAGAGAGACAATTATGCAGAGAAATGTGATATCAATTTAAAATTAGTCTCCCTGAAAAACGATTTTGTTCTTTATGTATAGTATGTTTACTTTAGAAGTTCTATCTACTTCTCTGTTAATTGGACTTTAATCACAAATAGGGTGCTGCTTTTGGTTCTAGCAGATAACTGAGAGCAGGAGATAAGGATTTCTACATTAAACATACTGCATAATAAGGGAAGCATGGTCTGCCGCTGGGCTGGGGCTGAATGGCTATTAGCCAATCAGCAGAGCCCCTGCCTAGTAGCAGGCAGTCCTTCCTGGATCAGAATTAAAGGTAGCAGATGTTGATGGTTGCAGGGAGTAACATTGCCGGAGAACCAACTTAGGGGTTAAACCATTTGTAAAGGGAAGGAAGTACCAGGAAGCTCCTGGAAACACAGCAACTTAATTTCAGTTATGTTGTTATGGTACCTGTAGTGTTCCTTTACAACAAATAAACTATTTTCAAGAAGTGTGGCTGTATAAACCACTGCCATATGTGTGTGGCTAGGGCTTCATAAACAAAGTGATTTAACTTCTAAATGGCAGCTAATTGAGCAATGAGACTGCAATGACACACTCTAGACACCAAAACCCCATCACTTAGCTTTTTTTATACTTAGAGTGTCCCTTTATGTATGGAGGTGAGAGCAACAACATAGCACAGGGTCTTAAGTGGCAGTGAACAACTATTTAATGTGATTAGGCTATATCGTTTGATCTCATCTTTAATGAAATCTATCAATAACAAGCAGAACACATTATAATATGAAGTTCTGGACACAATTTCTTTTTCAATTGCTGCAGTTAAAAGAACACTTTAGGCACGAGCACAACTTAATTAGATTTGATGGGTTTTTGGCCTCATATTCATGATGTATTTTTCTCCATATTCAAATTTCTTCAGTTTTACTGTTTTTAGATTCTATTAGCATAATTACACTGTCTTAGATATTTCATCGGTTTTAAAAAAAAAAAGTGTCATCCTGATTTGAAGGCCAACAGTGTAGCCCAGCCTATAATAGATCAATATGAGCTGAGCTGATGACTTGACTTCACCCCCTCTCCATTCAATCACTGTCATCGCATTTTCTGTATAGTATTTCAAAGTCTTACTAAGGAAAAATGGAAATAAACAACTAGAAAACAGTAATTGGCTGTGGGGTGAAGGCACGTCAACAGCTCGGCTCACACTGACCTCTCATTGGCTGAGCTGACTATGGACTCTGAGTTCATTGAAGAAATAAGTTGCTTTGTGAATGAGGCAACAATGTTACATTGCACAAAGCTGCACATTTTTAAACAAGAGCGACGGCCGTTTACTTTCATTGGCTGAGAACATCAGCTGACTGCTGATGACACCCCAATGACTCTGCCAAAAGTGAAGCTACGGCAGGGAGGTTAAACTCTGTATGTGCAACGTTACAATGCATGGCTTCATCAAAAATCTGATGGAACATCTACTAATAAATACATGATATCAATCTTCATTTAGTGAACACTGATGCTCCAACATTGTGGAGAGTTTCTATATGAAGGGTCACTTTGTTATAGTTTTAGTATCATTGACACAGCGTACATACACAACTCTATCTTATAGATTTCATCCAAAAAGACTGTATATATTAGGAGTTATAGAGGGTTGATGTGACAGTGTCAGTCACTGGTGATACCCTTTTCTTTTTATAACTAGTGTTTTCCTTTATATGTTGGGTTACATGTAATGTGATCCATTTCTTTATAAACTAATGTCTGACGATATTGCATAGGAAGCCTGAGGTTATGTCTAATATTGTGCTAGTTTTGCTGAACTTCCCAAACTAGACAAACATTACAACTTGCCAAAACATTAGCTCAGAAATAAAGTTGTAACATGCTCAAATCCAACAGCATCCAAGCTTGAGAAGATGCTGGCGTAACATTTCACGAGAGAAGCAAAAGAGGCTTCTATGCCAGCATCGGATAGATTATACCACTCACACAAAATCACTTTTAAGCAATTAGAGAAGCCCAGTGACTTCATCTTGCCATCCAAAAAGTCATGCTACATGCATTTGGCATTGCACTCCGCACTGCAATATTGTCTGTGGCCAAGGGAATTCTCAACAGTGTCATCTAGCCAATTTGTTTTGGCAAAACAATGTGAACCACTAAATCAAGCCCATTGTTGCAGCTTATATTTTATGTGGCAACAACTCTTGCAAATACCACAACTAAATGCGATGGAAGCTATTTGAAGTTGTGTTTGTACAGTGAAAAAGTATAAAACAATCACTAGCCCATAGAATTCTTTAACTAATAAGCAAGGTAAAGTAAGAACAAAAAATACCCCTGTGGTCAATCTTTTCCTAGGGACCTCTAATAAAATATTAAAACAACTCTCTATTAAGTGGAAAATCATTTTACTTATTCTTTATAAAAGATGGCTTAATTTAAAACCCTTTTGCCTGACAGAAAAAATATGGATCAATGACCTGAGAAACATTTTAAGGGACACTATCACTTTAATATCCAAACATTTATAGGGTATAGGAAGGGGATAGACAGAGGGATAAAGTTGGCAAAAGAAGACACATGTTTGGGTAGTGTGAGCTTGATCAGCCACTCACCATTATATAAAATACCTCTTATTTCTCAGGGCACATGATTTCCTAACTAAAGCTAATATTCTAGCCAGCTCTGGGTGTGAATTACTATGTTTGTGCATTATTATGCCAATAGTTACAAATTGTTTCTTAGTGTGCCTTTGTTTGAGTGTTTCTGTGCATGAGTGAGATTGTCGGGATTGGCTAAAGGATACTCAGCAAGGCAAGAGGCAGCAAACTAACAAAGGCAAAGGCATAGAAACAGGAAGATGCATATTACAGGACATTAGAGTTGTCATTCTAAAGTAAAGGTAGAATTAGGAAGTAACAGGACTACACTAAGAGAATTCTACAGGCCAGGAAAGGTACAAAATATAAAACACTCAATACCAGAGACAGACAAGGGTCAGGGGCATGGAGAAAATCAATGTCAGGAACAAGTTAGGGACAGGAATTCAGACAAGCAAGCGACTGGTACACGAGTCAAGTAATCAGACAAGCAAGGGACTAAAACACAAAATAAGGCAGACGGCAAACAGGCCCAGTAAGGTACTCAAGGGCAGGAGAGCAGAATGTAGTCAGGTAAGCCTGGTAAAAAAACAAAACAAAGAATCAAGATCAAATGAAAATATCACCAAGGATTTCAGGTCCTGATTGGCACTATCTTGCTGGAATCAATCCGATCAGAAGGGTAGCACCTGTGTTACCTACAGGTGCACTACAAAAACAAGCAATCAGAATATGAGATGGGTCAGAATTAAACAGCCCATTATATTAGCTGTTTAGTTCTTAAATTAGCCCGTGGTAAGAGATTACACAGTGGTACAGCAAGCAATGTGCAGTAATAAAAAAAAGGGGAGCTCAAGGGTTCAAATCCCACGAGAACCAGTCAGAGAGCATTTACTGACAGATTCATAAATTGGTACAGGCACAGGATATTTCTAATGGATCCTAGATTATATGTCTCAAATGAAAAAACTTATATGGGATTTTGGGGCACTATCCAAGATACCAAACTAAAACCAATGGCAGTCCAAAATTTCAGTGCAAGAAAAGATATCAGGAACCATGTGCATGAAGGGCACACAGAAGAGCTATTGCTGTAATTTTTTCTTTGGAATTCTCATACAGGCTTGCAGTTTAGCCAGTCTTCTTATGACTCTTAGCACTGTCACAATTGTGACTGCTACTTTTCTGCCATTGGTTTAACCCTTTCACTACTAAGCTGTTTGCAAAAGAAAAATCCACACAAACCAAATTTTTGGTGTGTACTGGAAAGTAATATTTAAATGTATTTTTTTGTTTCAGTATGCTTGGGTAACAGATTATTTAATGGAAACAAAAACAAAAATTCTGTCTAGACAGAAAAACGCATTTAAAAAAAACAAACTAATGAATGAGGTTACAGATAGGAGAACAGAGTTGTAAATAAGTAACTTTTCTCAATATGTATCATAGACCTTTTACCTCACATAGGCTATAATCTTTTCACCTATACATTGTCCAAAATGCACTCAATTCTTAGTTGTGTATGTATATATGCATATCCTTATGTATATATTTGTATATATTTCCACGCTACCATGACATCACCCATTTCATAACTGGGTGATAGGAGGAGAGGGTGATGAGAGAGGGTGACTAACTGTGTGTGTGGAGAAAAGGCAGATGATTGCATTGTACAGTGCTATGGAATTTTGCTGGTGCTATATAAATAATATAATAATAATAATAATAATAATAATAATAATGTGACAGAAATAGTGTGTGTGTGGGGGGTATGTTGTATGTGGGATGTCTGTATTCTCCTGTTCAGCCTCCTCACACATTGCTCATTTTGTTTGTAGGTAAGTCTTTCCCATTTACCTACCTAAGTTCTCCTCTCCTTTACAGCCACCCTCCGATTGCTCTGTGTGATGGTGGCTCTATCTCTTTAGTGTTTGCATGGCTGCTCTCCTGCTGGGTTTCTCACAGAGAAGGCAGCATGCAATATCATGCTACACAACCTCTTTTCTCCGTGTGAGTACAATCACTAACACCCTGGATGGCAGCAACTCAGACATGGATGTCAGGCTGCTGATCTGTCCTCCACTCACTTGTCCCCTGGCAGAGCTGTGCTGAGAGAGCTGATACAGAGAGTTAGTCCCTGTGTTTCAGGACTTACTAAAGGTGTAATTTGAAAATGAAATTGGTTTCCAAAAAATTAATTTAATTTGCAGTTATGAAAATCATGTATACACGATTGCGCAATATGAATGCATACTTGAAAGGCAATCGTGTACACAGGAGTGTCAATGTGAAGGGGTTAATAGAAAATATAGTCTGGCTGGTCCTGCTTCTGTTACAAAAATCTCACAGCAGTTTTTTATAAGCATGAGAAACTTAATAGAGAAGAATCATTTACTGTACTTGTTAATTAGAGTAATTAAATAACAAATCCAAACAATAGGATGCTTTGCAAAAAGATTTCCAGAAACACTGGCAAATCCTTCAGAAAAATGTTGGCAGAGAAACAAAGTCTAGGTGAATTGTTGGCTTTAAATCAATTTTAAGGAAATCTATTTATATACACATATAACAGTATACGGACCAAAGAAATGAAGAAATGAAGAGTAACCAGATTATTCAGTAAACTACGAATTGCACAGAACTGAACTGAAAATGTAACATAAAAACTCTGTAATTCAATGTGAGCAGGATATTACTTTGCAGCAGATATATTTAGATAGATTGGAGGACTGAACACTCAAATAACAGATTACATTTAATGTAGAAAAATGCAAAAATGGCACTTCAGAGGGGTTATGATAGCATTAAACAAATATATTTGCGGCCAAGACAGACCATTGTCTATACAGAGGACACAATGTCACATTTTTAGACTGGAAGAAAGGAGATTTAATCTAAGGCAAAGGAACAGATTTTTAAAAGTGAGATCAATAAGCATGAGGAATTCTCTACCTGAAGAGTGGGTTTTATCAGCATCTGTACAGATGTTTAAACAGCAACTGGATTAATACTTGCCAAAACATTATATTTGGGGATATCATTTTTAATTAGTGGGGTAGTAGCTTCTTGATCCAAGGAGAGATCTGACTGCCATCCTGGGATCAAGATGGCATTTTTTCCTAGTTTGTGTTGCAAAATTGGAAAGTGCTTCAAACTGTATTTTTGCCTTCTTTTTGATCAACACCAAAAACAGATCTGAGAAAGGCTGATGAATTTGATGAATGCATGTCTCTTTTCAGTTATGTAAATAAATACATTTTAGGTAATACAGGCAAACTAATTTATTTAAAAATAAAAAATAAAAATGAGCATTATATTATTTTAATTTTGGTGACTCCTAAAGCTCAAAAAACTCAGTCAAGACTTAGATTTCTTGCAACTCAGTATCTGAGAATTTTATCTGCAACATCTATCTCAGAATTCCATTTCGTGTCTTCAGCTTGAGAGATTGGCAAAAAAACTTCAGGTGTAAAGTATTGCTGTCAATTAACATGGTTATTGACTAAAGTGTGAATTGTTTTGAATACAAAGTGAATTTCAAGTAAACTGAAAATGTTATGTGTAGATTGCTACATTGGAAAAATTCCCCAAGTCACCTATTTTTGCACTTTGGCTATTTTGGTTTACAATTTGGAATTCCTTTTCAGATGTAATCTGTATTTCAATGTGCATTCAATTTTTAGATTTCTTATTAGATATCCTGAATTCATGTTGTACTTTCATGTCCATATTACAATTTGCAATATTTGTTATTTTAGAAAAAGCACACTTTCTCCTCAAAATGCAATGCAACAATACTTAACAATATGCAAAAATGCATAATAATGATAAATAATAATTTAAACTTAATTTTCAAAATGATTACCACTCACATAGTGTAGTATCCATAAATGTAAATATTATATATATATATACATTTTTTTTTCTTAAAAAAAATCCTTATATTGGGGTGAATTAATTAAACAAATAATTGTGAAGAAATAAATATAACTAAATTAAAATTGTACCCGAAGATACTTAGGGAAACATTGTTAAGTTTGTAATGTTTGTAATACAGCACATTATATCCATAATAACTCAATCACCAATTTTGACATTATAGCCAACAAATTATTATTATTATTATTAGTATTAGTATTATATTATCATTTATATATCGCCAACATATTCCACAGAATTTACAATTCAGAATGGGATAGTTGATAGCAACTCATTGACATAACAGATGAAACAATGACATGAGATGAAGAAGGCCCTGCTTAAACGAGTTTACAATCTCTATGTCTAATAGCAACACACATAATTTTGCCCATTACATTGCAATCCATTTAGTGCGTTGAACTATTTTAACAAAATGTCTTCTTTTGTAGTCAGGTTTACTAAGGACAAGTACAAATGAATTTTTTATATCACCACTGCCTCAGCACCTTGCAGAAGAACACAACTTCACAGCACCAGAAGGGCATCATCCTCACGTGCTATACAAAAGGTCAGCGGAGACCAAAATAAATCGTGGCAAGCCATATTCTCTTTCTGACTCTATGGATCAGATTTATTGGCCCAACAGTAGGCATACTTCTATTAAGGAATCTTCTCAAAGTGGAAATATTCATAAGCAACATTTTTGTGGAAGACGTAAAAAATGTGAGTGGAGAATGTGATTATGTCATAGGACCCGTTTTTTTAAAGCTAAACTCTGAACGTTGTTATCTTTAACATTAACCTCAATTTAATATTTGTGGATAAGCTTTTCAAATGATTCAAAATTTTTGGATAAAGTTATAAAATTATTTAGTATTTTGAAAAATGGTTTACTATTTTGATACATTTTGAGATATTTATATATATATATATATGTTATATATTTTAATGTTTTGAAAAAAATATTGTAAACATTTATCCAAAAATATTAAAACATTTGAAAAACTCATCAGTTTAAGCTCCTCTCTCTTCTTATCTTTTTCTCATACCTATTTTTTTCATGTGGTTTTTATACTCACTAGATAATTATTCCTGTGCACTGTTTCAGGGGACTAATGTTCGTCCCATAATTCTCTAATTCTTTCGAGTTTTGTGTTTAGACTTTTGATGGTGTCATTGCTTGTACTGCATATATATATATATATAATCTGTGAAATCCTTGTTCAAAAGTATTAAAGTCCATTGGTATAACACTGGTCTCCTGATGATTAATTTCTGAACAAAGTGGGTAATGTGTTGATGGTGAGTAGACCAGGACGAATACTGTAAAAGTAGTAAATGCAACAGAATGTATAATCTATAATATAGGGTATTATCTATAATAGGAGAGAATATCTATAACATGGAGTATTATCGATAATGGGAGTATTATCTATAATGGGTGGTATTATGTATAATGGGGATATTATCTACATAATTGGGGGTATTATCTAGAATGGAGTGGTATTATGTATAATTGGGGTATTATCTATAATGGGTGGTATTTTAAATAATCAGAGTATTATCTATTAAGGGGATATTATGTATAATGAAGTGGTTTTATTGATTATGGGTGGTTATTTTATATTTTGAATGGGTATTATCAATAATTGGGGCATTATCTATAATGGGGTATTATCTAAAATGGAGGTATTATCTATAATGGGTGGTATAATCTATAATGAGAGGGTATTATCAATAATGTAGGTATTATCTATAATGGGTGGTATAATCTATAATGAGAGGGTATTATCAATAATGGAGGTATTATCTATAATAAGGGGTGTTATCTATCATGGGAGGTATTATCTATAATAGGCGGTATTATCAATATTTGGGGGTATTATCTATAATAGCGAGTATTATCGATAATTGGGTTATTATCTAAAATTTCTACAAGATTCTCTATGGTGGACCTGGAAAGTTCACAGATATTTATTTCATACCGAGTGCGTAATCCATTACCCAGAACATATTTTCTAACAATCTAAAGTTATATCATCTTCTAGCTCTACTTTTTTAATTTACTTTGATATTTACTTTGTCAATTCTATTTTCTACTTAGATTCACCCACAGTAAACACGAATGACAAAAACATCCGACCAGATGAATATGCACCCCCTACAAGAACCAAGCGATCTGCTGCCAAATCCCAACATTTGGGTAGTTTGGTTGTTGAAACATTAGTTGTGGCTGACAAAAAAATGGTGGAAAAACATGGGAAAGAAAGTGTAACTACGTACATTCTGACAGTTATGAACATGGCAAGTCATTCTTTGCAATAATATGAATTTTTTTAAAAGTACACTGCACATGTAATGATTTACCATATTAGAGGTCCAATGACGATAATTTTCTATACTACCATTTGACACTTTTTCAATACTTATCTTATTTATATATTTCTCTTCCTTAGGTATCTAGTCTTTTCAAAGATGGAACAATTGGCTCTGATATCAATATTGTAGTTGTGAGTCTTCTGCTTTTGGAAGAAGATCCAGTAAGTTTTTAACTATTTACTGATATAAATGGTACTACTCCAGCCCAGATCACTTAAGCTTAAGGTTTATTATTAGAATTAAAGAAGACAGCCACTAGTGTTGTGACGTGTTTAACCCTGCAATGGAAATATTGCAGTTTCTACAAAAGGGTTAAAATTACAGAACCACTTAATTCAGACCACTACATTGAGAAGTGGTCCAGGTGACTTTAGTGGCCCTTTAAACTCAAAAGTCATATGATAACCGAATGACTGAACTACAGCATTAACTATTTAAAGTTAAACTTAAAGGGATGCTATGGGCACCAAAACAACTTTGTCTTAATCTTAGTTAAGTCTGCAGACTCATTGTTCAGTTCTCTGCCATTTAGGAGTTAAATCACTTTTGTTTCTTTTGATGCAGCATTAGACACAACTTTCTTGGCTGTGACTTACACAGCCTTCATGAAAAAAATAGTTTAATTCTCAATCAGATGTTAACTTACTTTAGACGTTTATCCTCTGCTCTATAAATTGTACTTTAAGCACACACAGAAGGCTCCTGCATGGTCTAGAATGCTATTAACTAGATAAGAAATAGCACCAGATAGAAAATTCTAAATTAAACATAATTAATAAATAAGGTGTAAACATTAGATGACTCTTTACAGGAAGTGTGTAGGGAGGCTGTGTAAGCCTCATGCAGGGAGTTGTTACTAGGGCTACATAAACAAAGAGATTTAGCTCCTAAATGGCAGAGAATTGAGCAGTGAGACTGAAGAGCATTATCTTTACACCAAAACTGCTTAAGCTAAAGTTTTTTTGTACTTATAGTATCCCTTTAGATACTTAAAACATGGTTACATTTGTAGTTAGACTTTTCTGATGATTCTAGTTAAAATGATTTAAAATGTGCGAGTAAAACATTTCTTTCAACCTCTTATAATTGCATTTCTTAATTACCAACTTATTGTCTAGAATGTGTCAATGAAATAAGCACATTCTCATACAGCTAATGGTTTCTAAATGGTTTCTGGAGTCTTAGATAGGTGATATTCTCCCCTCTTCTTATATACAGGTATCACACCCCCCTTTTCCTTAGGCACAGGGTTCAGACAGGTGGTAAAACAGAAGAAATGTATGCAACATAGAACTTTAATAAAATATTCCATACAAAATTGCGCTAACATGTACAAGAGCCTTGAAATTCGGCTCAATAAAATGTTATATAGTTGTCTAGATTGAAAAATGACTAAAGTCCATCAAATTTAACCCTGCCAAGCAACATCTTCCCTCCACAGTGCATCCAAATCCTGGTATATAAAATAACTCCACAATCCAGAATCCAACTTACATGTACTTTATTAAGCAAAACAAATCATAAAAGGCATAATAAGTGCTAAAAGTGCTCACTATTATCACTATTATATGTTTTCCATTTTTGCTTTTGAGGTCAAAAGTTTGTCATTGGTGAGTGGACATTTTATACACTGCTTTTTCAGGATACTAACATTGTTCCTTGTATTACATATTTTACAATTTATTTAGATTTTTAAATGGGTGCCATGAACTAACATTTTAACATTATAAGGCACTTTGTTGTTATTCAGTGCGATAGATATTTGGCACCATTTACACTGTTAACATGTTAAATATAGTTAAAGTGAACATTATATATATTGCATGGTGTATATAAGCTCTCCATTTGTTATTTATGGTTTTTAGGTATTTTGTTGTGTAAACAGGGGTACAAGGAGTATTTGAACAGCTAAATAAATTGTTTTTGTATGCACATTTTTAACACCTTAATTTTATATTTATTAAAAAGAATGTTTAGATTTTACATCTGGAAATCTATTATACCTTCAGGAAATAATGCATTTTCACCTTTTTACCTTTTGTATAATTATCTACATCTTTTTTGACACTGTAAGCTTGTTTGAGCATGGCCCTCTTCGTCTCCTGTTACTCTTTACCTGAATTAACTGTGTAATAATTGAATTATTTAACTGACCCATTCTAGACAAGAAGTTGGTAATTAACAAATACAATTACAATAATACTTTTACTACCTCCCAAGAGGTTGAAAGAAATGTCTCAGAGCTGATGAGATCCATATTTAGTAAGTGTATTATATATTTGGAAGAGAGTGTATGTCTCTGTTCTAAATTAGAACATTGTGAAGTTAATTTAAACCGACACATTTTATATTATAGCATTTTGTAGATAATTAAAAACTGTCTGCATCCAAAAGAAAACAATCTGATATTTTTAGAATCATGTTATTATGCATCAAAAAAGGCTACACTAGATTGGCATGTAATGTTGTTTGTATTGGATTTTTTTAAATTTAAAACTAAAAAAGCTTAAAAAATTATATTTTTTTTTGTTTATTTGATTTTTATTACTATTTTGACTGTTGTGAGTGAAGTCCGTTTATTCTTGAGAATCAAACACTAACATGCCAGTTGTTATTAATTTATGTTAATTACTACGAATAATTGCTTTTCTTTTTTTTTTTCTTCACAGTCCGGACTGGTAATCAATCACCACGCTGATCAATCGTTAAACAACTTTTGTCAGTGGCAATCACTTCTTACTGGAAAAAATGGCAAAAGACACGACCATGCCATACTGTTAACTGGATTAGATATCTGTTCGTGGAAAAATGAACCCTGTGACACTTTAGGTAGAAGATTTGTACTATAAAAATACTTTTTTCAAGATACGATAGAAAGAAATAAAACATTTATTTTTTCATTTAACGTTATCAAATTTCATGATATGTAGCCAAGAAGATACTCCAAGTGGGTATTATTGAAAAGCCAATACACTTGAACAATAAACTTATATAACTTGCAATTAGATTCTGTTACATTTTCCTGCCACTATAAATTTGTCCGTCTTCTGAAATGGAAGTTTCTGTGACAAGTGGTGGAATTTACTATGAAGAAAACTATCACTTTTTAGATCACCTTAATACATATGATCAAATGAATGATGCAATTTAACCCCTACTTTTAAAAACACTTTGATAAATATCTCCCAAAGTTTTTTTTCCTATTGTCCAACTCACTGTTAAGCATCTTGAGATGTATACAACCAGCATCATCCGGTCACATATTCATCCGCTTATAGAAATGTGGTTAATGACATTTACTGTCCACACAGGAAAAGTTGTGCCGAGCAGCAACCTAATCAGTAGAGCAGATGTTGCTATGAGCTCTTCAATCTGATGGGTGTAAATTTTGTTGCTGCAGACTCTAGCAGGCAATTGATAACTTCGAAATTAAACACACTGTACAATAAGGGAATTGTGTCAAATGAAGAGTTGTGGATAGGGCAGCATAAACAAAGTGACTTAACATTTAAATGACAGAGGAAAGCAGTGACACAGTAGGTGCATGATCTATACACCAAAACTACTTAATTAAACTAAAGTTTTTTTGGTGGTAGAGTGTATCTTTAACTGTAGACTAATGAGGTTGATTGCTGGTGTAATAATTGTGATTATGATTTAAACTAAATTAGATTAGTAATGGCTATTTAAAACAAAAACAAAAAAAAACACCATACATAATAAAACAAAGAAAAAAACTCCTTTATTTCTGTTGATAGTTATAAATATCTTTTCTTTAATTGTAATTGATTACTAATCTGTTTACATATGCATCATGGATACTAATCCATTGTTGCTTATTTCTCATTTAGGTTTTGCACCTATTAATGGTATGTGCAGCAAGTATCGAAGCTGCACCATTAATGAAGATTCCGGCTTAGGGTTAGCATTTACAATTGCTCATGAATCTGGTCACAAGTAAGTTGCCACATCTATTCTAATGCATGAAATCAGTCAATAATACGATCTAGATAAGCACTGTGTGTTTTGGGCTAAAGACAGTTCATACATTTATGCACAGTAAAAAGATTCAGAGGGACTATGGGAGCAAGTAGGATTTGTATAAAGTATAATTCCTGGGCACATTTTTGAACGTTGAGCTATCGGTACTGGGTGAAGTTCTAAAGGTTCAGGAATAATTCAAAATATTCCATTAATTCCCATAACAGCTGTTGTCCATTCAGACCTTTGGAGTTACTTAGAGCAACCAGTGTCTGGACAATGTGTCTTTGGCTTTGATGTTGACATTGTCCATTTCTCATAGATTTTAGAAGTTATCTCCAAGTTGTGATCCACCTCAAAGTCTTATAATTATTTGTTCCTTGATTGCTAATGTATTATTACCTATTTATAACAGTAAGGTCAGAATTATAATACTTACTGTCACCTTGACTTACTCTTAATCCATTCTTGATCATAAAAAAATATTCTAGATGCTCAGCATCTCCTTTGTTTTATTAATAGCTTTGGAATGGTCCATGATGGTGAGGGAAATGCCTGTAGGAAGGCCGAAGGCAATATTATGTCTCCTACTCTAACTGGGAACAATGGTGTCTTCTCCTGGTCGGCTTGCAGCAGACAGTATCTGAAAGAATTTCTCAGGTGAGACTCAACTGCCATCTGTTCCTCTGCCAAGTTTGACAACTGAAACAGATTTCTTGCCTCCTAAAGACATGACGGTTTTTTTAATTTCAATTAACACATTGTGTCTTTTAGTTTTTTTTGTTGTGACAATGATTTCCAAGATTCCTTGCAGGTATTGCGACTGTCAGACGTATTATTTCATAATGTTGTCGCTTCTGTCAAAGCAGATCCCTAGCTGGGTGATTCTGTTCCCTGAAGATGAACAAACCAGATGTAATCCATGTTTTTTTAAAGCATGAACATCTCTAAAATTGACCTTTTGTTTAGTTCACCAGGTGTTGCTGTAAACTTGCACCTTTCGTTTTTTTCTTGTGCTTCCTGTACAAAGCAGTGGAATTGCCTTTCATGTTGAGACATTGTGTAAACTCTGTGCAATTAGATCTTTTAGTGAGAATGAATTCATTTAAGGACAACTTTCACATGTAAAGCTGTAGTTTAAGGGTTGATGAGACCCTTGTAGCCACCTGCTGGCTATTATTATATATTTTTTTTTTTGCTTTAGCATTGTACACTTAAACATTAAAAGTGTTCTATGCATTTATTCCTACACACTAACTAATAATAAACACTGATTAACATGACAGTATTAAAAAATTTAGATATTTTTCTGCCTATCTTTTGTTTGAAATCATTTGTTCTAAATATGACGATTTCTTAAAAGAGATAATTTAGTAAGGCAAAACAAAAAAATGCTTAGAAGTACACATAGAAATGTCACACAAATAAACAAATGCAATGTAAAACACGCAAAAAAGTAGTTTTTAAAATTTTTGATTGAAATTTACTTTGTGTGTGTATGCTTGTACTGCAGAAACATTTACCTAAAAATATGGTATAATGTTTTTATGTGTTTTATTTTTATATATTAAACAATTGAGCTACAAACCAGCTTAAATGATTTCTGCCATTGTTTTTAAATAAAATTATTATTGCATACATATTTCAAGCTGATCATCAATGAACTACTAGCTTAGTTCATGAACTTTTAGAATAAAAGTATTTGCGTATATTGCTAAATTATTGTGGTATGCAGGCATTAAACTGGAATTAATTAGTTTAAGGAGCATAGCAAGCAAAGATTTATTTTTGCAGGCTGCAACCTGTTTTGATGACTTTGCAACTATTTTTGTGAATGATCCATGATAGCACATCTTGATTTCCATATATTTATTTGTGGGTTTTATTCCAATAAATCACTAATATATAGCCTTCATTTTTTAAATGGAGCACAATTATTTATTTGATGTTAGTTTGACAACTTATTCTTCAGTTGTCAAATTAGTCATTAGTGACTAATTACTTCTATACATTTTGAAAAGCATTTTATTAGGATGTCCTCAGAGACATGATGGTCTCCAGTGTAAACAGTTTATTGTAGGCTATTACCTGGGAACCAAAGAACAGGCCATGCTTTTCCTAACCCTCTGAAAAGAACATAGTTTCAACCAAGGTTTTAAGATCCACAACATGGATATTTGCGTGTTGTCACTAAATGTCATTAAAGTAAGGCTTTGTTAATAGTGAAATTTCAAAGCGGACCTGTTATGTGTGTTCTCTTTTATTCATTTTGCAAAAGTGCAGATTTCCATAGAAATTGGCACTGTTATAAATTGACCCTGCTGTACACCATTGGCTGTTGTTTAGATAACTAGTTCTGCTACCTCCTGTTTTTTTAGCTTAGAAGAATCAAACTCGAGGGTCGGGCAATTGCCTAGAGCACCTGCTTTGTGAAGATTTTTCATTGAGTTGCATTAGGAAGTCTGTGATTGGGCAGCCTAGAAAGTCTAGGCCGGGAAAGAAGAAGGCTTGAAAAGGCTGCCGACAAGAGTTTTGCAAATTTTTTTTTTTACATACCCCCCAATGAAGAAATGCATAATTAAATGTGTGTATGTGTTCACTGGGGGCAGTGAATTTTACAATTCACTTAAAATTTTCTTTGAATTTCTAACCATTTGCACTGCAGTGAATAGTACTGACAGAGTAGTAAGGCAGTTTTATACTAAAGACATAAGAATTGCAAACTGACCTTCTACAAGATTTTCATTTCTAATGGCTATCAATCAAGTCAGGATTTGTATCCTAGATGAAAACAATTCACATTGACTTTTATCACAGCACAGCTCAATCCTCCTGCCTTGTTGATGAGCCAAAACAAGTGGGGCATTTTAAGTATCCGGAGCAACTTCCTGGGCAGATATACGATGCAGATACTCAGTGTAAATGGCAATTTGGATCAAAAGCAAAGCAATGCAGCTTGACATTTGTAAAGGTAGGAACGCGATGTTATATTAATTATTATTTTTGCTTAATTATGTTTACATATGTCTACCTTTCATAGTGTTACATTCTCATAATAACGTAGGCTGCAGGAAAAGACTCAATTCTGGTTCATCTGTTACTGTTGATCGAATAGAAGGCAAAACACCTAATTTAGATCCATTTCCAATTTTGGCCAAAAATGGTTAAATAGTTTATTGTTGACTGCAAAATGGCAATCATCCTTTTTCTTGGAATCAAAAAGATGCTAACCCAAATTGTTGAATATTATTTTTTTTCCAAAAAATAACCAGACATTGTTTCAAAATATTGACTTTATCTGATACAACAACAGTCCTGATCTTTGTTTTTCTTAATGCAAAAGACACATTACTCAAGGGGAAATCTTTTTTCTTCAAGTCTGAACAGATAACCTTTTGTCCTTTGTATAGTGTTATTAATGAAGAGATCACCAGAGAGATGTTTCTACTGGCAGTACTGACAGTATCTTTAATTGTTCCTACACTAGTTCTCTTTTCTCATTCACACACTCACATTGTCAACTTTCATTCACTTTTTCTCTCTCCCTGTTACCTAGTCATATTCCCTCTCAAATCATCAGCCTTGCTTTTTTCTACTCTTTTAAAAGATTAATTAGTTCATATGTGATACGTCATCTTTTACAGCATATGCTTAATTTTTTTTTGTAGGACATATGCAAGTCACTTTGGTGCCACAAAACAGGCCACCGATGTGAGACAAAGTTCATGCCAGCAGCTGAAGGCACTACTTGTGGAGTAAATATGGTAAGCTCTAAATATCTATTCAGTTATCATCAGGTGATAGCAGTATCTAGATTCTAACCCTAAATTCTCTTTGACAGTGGTGTAGAAGAGGATTATGTGTTAGATTTGGAGAGCATGGTCCAAGAGCAGTTAATGGTGGATGGTCAGATTGGTCGTCATGGTCAGACTGCTCCAGGAATTGTGGCGGTGGTGTTATGTATCAGGAGAGGCACTGTACCAATCCAAAGTAAGAAGTAGGACTTTTATTTACACTAGAACACCTGTGAAGAAAAAATTGCACTGCTTTGGTAGTTTACCTCAGACATTGTTGTAACTATTGACATATGTATGTATTATATATTTTATTTATAAAGTGCTAAAGCTATATTTGTAACAATATCATACAGGGCAAGTACAGTAAATTAGTTATACAGTTTGTGTATGTTTGTGTACGTATATACATACTTTAACAAAACTTTACCATTTACAATACATGCAGACATCTTCATATGTGCTAAGATTTAGCACTCATTGCTATTAGTGTTGCTCAAAATCCAAATAGGTTATGGCGATTGAAAACCCACCTGAAGTCTGTGGATAGTTAATACAATGTTAGACAAAAATCTGCACACCAGTCAAGCCTTGTTGCTTTTCCCACAGAAATCCCAAATCTGCAGTGATGTTACAACTGCAACATCACCCAGAATCCTTTGCCGTTGTAACATCACTGCATATTTGGGATTTCTGTGGGAAAAGCAAGTCTTATGGCTTGACTGGTGTGCAGATTTTTGTCTAACATTTTATTAACTATATATATATATGAGATATATGAAAATACAACATGCAATAGAACATTGAAGTGCATTTGCCCAAAACATTCATCCCCTAGACTTCGAAACTTGCATGTAACCTGACCCATGGATGTTTATTTGCGCTGCCCCAATGCCACCTCCTGGAGTGTACATCGTTGCCATGATGAGCCAAACGCTTCCAGCGTGATAGAGCTGTAGCTAATGGGCAAATAGACAAACTGTTAGTACTCAGCCAATGGAAAGAAATGAAGTATTTAGATAAATTATATATTATAATCTGCAATTCAGGTCAAGGATATCAAAATGCCTCTTAAACTAAAACAACCTCTGAGATTTCTATAGGTAGACTCAACACCCAACTGGCACATTAAATAGCTTTATACAGGACACTCAGCCAGACAGCACAATAAATGCTCCACTACCATCCACAGCAACTCTTTGGATCTCAGCCACCAGCAGCTGCAAGCCGGTAATACTGTTCACTCAATGGCCGATGTGCCTATAGGTGAAACTATCTGTTAGCTGCGCTATTTTCTTACCTTATTTTTAAGCACATTTGTTTGTTGCTAATTTCAATTAATTTAGGTATTACTTACTTGCAGCACAATTCAGTAAGTCATCAGCTGAGATGCTATTATATTTGAAAGAGCCAGATCAACTGAGGTACCATTTCAGTAGCTAATAAAGTTTAACCACTGTTTATTAAAAAATCAGATGTTCAAATCCGTTTTTCCAGAAGGTCTTGTGATGTACTGGTAGGAAAGACACCCAATTAATGATTTCATTAATGTCCCAAAATGCATAACTTACCTAGGAGATATTTTGTCTGTATTGCTTTGAGGTGCAGCCTTGTTTATGTTCTTTAATGGTATAGCTTTGACCATCTTTAACTACTGAAATTCAATAAAGCACACTTTTCCGAGCAAATCCCTTTCCTGACAGACGTGTGTGAGTGCCAATTGGAATTTAAAAAAAAATGTTTTCAACTTTAGAATGTTAATGTGTTGTTGATATCATCTTGTTTTAGACCACAGTATGGAGGTAAATTTTGCCAGGGGTTGAGTCGTATTTACCAACTTTGCAATACCCATGCCTGCCCTCCCAATACTCTTGATTTCCGTGCCCAACAGTGTGCTGAATACAACAGCAAGCCATTCAGGGGGTGGTATTACAAATGGAAGCCGTACACTAAAGTTGAAGGTAAGTAACTCAGTGGTCCATACCAACCCAGAAAGATGTATAAGATAAGCACCATGAGATATTTGTATTCCCAAAACATCACTGCACTGCTCTATGATTCTCTAGTCTTGAAAATTGACCTTATGTCACCTGAACAGTCTGTAGGATGACGCCGTCTCTTGAATTTGTCTTCTGTACTGTCACACTTGAATACATTTGGACACAGTGTTTAGATTGCCTCTTAGATGTCCCTCTTCCAGAATAAATAAACCAAGCTTGCTACACACTCATCATATTTCAATTACTCAGTTCATTTTACTATTTATGTAGCTATAAATTCATTGAATTATGGTCCACTAAGAAATTGGATGGAGATCTGTGTTATGTTATGCTTCTAAAAGACCCAAACATTATCTGCCAATTCTTTTAACACTTCATTTAAAATCTTTGTTTTCACAGAAGAAAATATTTGTAAACTCTACTGCACAACAGAAGATTTCGACTTTTTCTTTGCACTATCAAACAAAGTCAAGGATGGAACCCCATGTTCTCCAAATGGAAATGATGTCTGCATTGATGGAAGTTGTGAGGTATTAAATACTGTGACTCTCACATCCCATTTACCATTACTCCAGCATATATTTACTTTTGTTTTTTTCATGTGTTATATGAAATATAAGCAATGTGATGGAACATGTCTAGAATCTGATATGCAGAATATCATGTAGATTGTGAGACATTTAAGATGCATTATTTCAAAACGAGATGTTTTGCGGTAGTGTATGCACTTGCTGAAGGTATCTGGAATAGATGTTGTCCACAAACCTCTGCTTTCAAACATTTAGTGATATACACAAAATTGGAGATTGTGGAAATTGATAAAGGTAGATTGGGTTCTGATCCAATAGAAACAAACTGGGAAAATTGATCAACTCATTTATTATAAAAGAGACAAAAAGGGGGCAGCGCTATATAACAGAGGAAGGGGGGGAAGCACACCTAAAAAGGGAAGTAGGAAGTAGGACAAACAAAACTTAAAACAGATGTCTACTCACATAAGATAGAGCTATAACCAGCTCTAGGTAAAACAGCATGAAGTGGTTTGTAATCCCCACTTGCACCCCCTCTGGGTATGGTAAATGGTGAGGCAAATCACAACTGGATAGCAGTGAGGCATTTAAAGGACCTACCAAGTCTCCTATAGATAGAACAATCTCAGTTTAGACAGGCAAATTTAAAAAAGAAAATTTCAAACCAATGCCCAAGGTCAAAGCTGAAAGCTTAAAACAATACGAATCTAGTGAAAGAAGAGACTAGAGGATAAAATTATACAGTAATATGAGTACAAAGATAGCCCACATTCTCTTATAAATTATTGTATACAGCTTTAATAAAAAGCTGCCAGTCGAGGGTCTGCTGAACATACATTTGTCTTGTTAAACATAATTTTACAAGTTCATAAAAGATCCATCTATATCCAACATGTACAAACACTAGACCATCCTGAAGCGTAACCAAAATATGTATAATTTACAATACAGCAAAAGAAGGATTTTAACTAAGTACTTAATTAATTTCCTGCATTGTAATTTGCATTATCTGGAGTTGAGTAAAATATCATTTTACAGAATGTACAAGCTAGAGAATGGATTTTAATTTCAGGCCTTGGCTCTGAGACAGCAGGAAGAAATTAGCCGTTGCATCCTCTGATATGATATGTTCCGACATTCTCAGGCTTCTAACATGCTTTTTTTATTCTGTGATTCTGGTGGCAGCTTGTAGGGTGTGATTATATTCTTGGATCAAAAGCAAGTCTGGATGCCTGCGGGGTTTGTAAAGGTGACAACTCGACATGTACATTTTACAGAGGGCAGTATCTCAACCATCATAAAACTAATGGTAAGGATATTTTAATATTTTGCAAGACAAAAATGTGCATATAATAATTCCAGCTTCTCACATTTTTAATTGTCTTAAATTACCTCTCGACCCTCTTGTCTGTCTCTACCTGTCTATCCATCTGTTTGTCTATCTATCTACTTTAAACAATATTTAATATGCCTGATAGTAGACAGGTGTACCACAGATCAGATTGAGTATTTAAAGGATGCTATAGCAAACTGGTTTCATAAGAATTTAGATCTGATATAGAATAAAACCTTTCTCGATATGAGTCATATAATAAATGGTTAAATAGTTTGTTAGTAAATGCAAATTTTTTTTTAAAGCTGCCTCTTATCACTGGGGTCACTTACAATAGAATACATGCTTTAATATTTTATAAAGGGTTTGCGTACAATTCAAGTGACAGTCCATAATCCGGAATCAAGAAAATCCATTTTGTTGATTTGCTCGTTGCTTTGACCAATCACATTTAGCTTGGTAATTCTAAAAACTTACCAAATCACCTGATCTACCATGAGGATGAACAATATTAGTTTACAAGTTAGTTTATGACTGGTCATGTAGTAACAGAGATTCCGCAGACCTGCTGGAGATAAGTTTCTCTCTAAAGTTGGATAGCCAGTAGAAAAGTAAAAATAGGAATTAATTTAGTTTATTTTTGTCATTAAACGTCACTGCTGCAGTGTTCAGAGGAAGCACTGATATAAGGTATATTCTTTAAAGTTTAGAGAACATTATGACCAAGTTGGTTAACTTGCTTACCAAGAGCTTTTGATGATCTGCTAACTATTAAATAATTGTGTTATTACACACTGCCATGGTAATGGTAAAATGTGCTTCATACTTTTGTCTAGAGTATTATTCCATTGTGACTGTACCAGCAGGAGCAAGAAGTATCCACCTTTATGAACTTGAGACTTCGACAAGCTACTTTGCAGTTCGTAACCTAAATAAAAAGTATTACCTAACAGGAGACTGGACCATTGATTGGCCTGGAAAGTTTTTCTTTTCAGGCACTGTTTTTAACTATCAACGGTCTTACCAACAACCCGAAAGCCTATATGCAGCCGGACCACTTAATGAAACACTAGTCTTGGAGGTAGGTTATCTCTCTTCATTTTTAAACAAAGTTGATTCTTTAACATGGACATGTGTCGGTCTCGATTGCTTCTTGGGGTTATTGATCTTTTCCTAACCTGACATGAACGTTCCTATAATAATTGTTTCCGTACTGCTGCTGACAGTAGGACTTTTATTTACACTAGAACATGGTTTGTTTAATGTGGACCTGTGAAGAAAAAATTGCACTGCTTTGGTAGTTTACCTCAGACATTGTTGTAACTATTGACATATGTATGTATTATATATTTTATTTATAAAGTGCTAAAGCTATATTTGTAACAATATCATACAGGGCAAGTACAGTAAATTAGTTATACAGTTTGTGTATGTTTGTGTACGTATATACATACTTTAACAAAACTTTACCATTTACATTATAGTAGAGAAAAGGTAAAATACATGCAGTAATTACATAATGTGTATCTAAGAATAGTTTTTAAAGTTCTAACATATGTGCTAAGAATTTTTAATTATATATATATATATATAGGCAAAAAAGGTTAGCACTCTAGTGATTCTTTGCAAAAATAAAACAAATTTTATTAGTGATTAATTTTTCAGACTTCCATAAAATTATATATATCTCAAAATCCAAATAGGTTATGGCGATTGAAAACCCACCTGAAGTCTGTGGATAGTTAATACAATGTTAGACAAAAATCTGCACACCAGTCAAGCCTTGTTGCTTTTCCCACAGAAATCCCAAATCTGCAGTGATGTTACAACTGCAACATCACCCAGAATCCTTTGCCGTTGTAACATCACTGCATATTTGGGATTTCTGTGGGAAAAGCAAGTCTTATGGCTTGACTGGTGTGCAGATTTTTGTCTAACATTTTATTAACTATATATATATATGAGATATATGAAAATACAACATGCAATAGAACATTGAAGTGCATTTGCCCAAAACATTCATCCCCTAGACTTCGAAACTTGCATGTAACCTGACCCATGGATGTTTATTTGCGCTGCCCCAATGCCACCTCCTGGAGTGTACATCGTTGCCATGATGAGCCAAACGCTTCCAGCGTGATAGAGCTGTAGCTAATGGGCAAATAGACAAACTGTTAGTACTCAGCCAATGGAAAGAAATGAAGTATTTAGATAAATTATATATTATAATCTGCAATTCAGGTCAAGGATATCAAAATGCCTCTTAAACTAAAACAACCTCTGAGATTTCTATAGGTAGACTCAACACCCAACTGGCACATTAAATAGCTTTATACAGGACACTCAGCCAGACAGCACAATAAATGCAGGTATAGTTGTTCCACTGGTAAATAGGATACCATCCACAGATACAAGTGAACTCTAGTAGACTGGTATAAAATATTATATAACATATATATGTTATCATTTTTTTGTATTCTGTGCCTGACCAGCACCGGGCAATTACTTTCTAATCCAGAAGTGCAAGCATCTCAATATATATATATATATATATATATATATATATATATATATATATATATATATATATTACGGTAATACCTAAATTAGTTGATAAAATTAGCACACATATTTGGGTTTATTTTGTGTGTGTGTATATACAGGGAGTGCAGAATTATTAGGCAAGTTGTATTTTTGAGGATTAATTTTATTATTGAACAACAACCATGTTCTCAATGAACCCAACAAACTCATTAATATCAAAGCTGAATTTTTTTGGAAGTAGTTTTTAGTTTGTTTTTAGTTTTAGCTATGTTAGGGGGATATATGTGTGTGCAGGTGACTATTACTGTGCATAATTATTAGGCAACTTAACAAAAAACAAATATATACCCATTTCAATTATTTATTATTACCAGTGAAACCAATATAACATCTCAACATTCACAAATATACATTTCTGACATTCAAAAACAAAACAAAAACAAATCAGTGACCAATATAGCCACCTTTCTTTGCAAGGACACTCAAAAGCCTGCCATCCATGGATTCTGTCAGTGTTTTGATCTGTTCACCATCAACATTGCGTGCAGCAGCAACCACAGCCTCCCAGACACTGTTCAGAGAGGTGTACTGTTTTCCCTCCTTGTAAATCTCACATTTGATGATGGACCACAGGTTCTCAATGGGGTTCAGATCAGGTGAACAAGGAGGCCATGTCATTAGATTTTCTTCTTTTATACCCTTTCTTGCCAGCCACGCTGTGGAGTACTTGGACGCGTGTGATGGAGCATTGTCCTGCATGAAAATCATTGCAAGCGCTATAAAAACTTCTTCCTGTACCACTGCTTGAAGAAGGTGTCTTCCAGGAACTGGCAGTAGGACTGGGAGTTGATCTTGACTCCATCCTCAACCCGAAAAGGCCCCACAAGCTCATCTTTGATGATACCAGCCCAAACCAGTACTCCACCTCCACCTTGCTGGCGTCTGAGTCGGACTGGAGCTCTCTGCCCTTTACCAATCCAGCCACGGGCCCATCCATCTGGCCCATCAAGACTCACTCTCATTTCATCAGTCCATAAAACCTTAGAAAAATCTTGAGATATTTCTTGGCCCAGTCTTGACGTTTCAGCTTGTGTGTCTTGTTCAGTGGTGGTCGTCTTTCAGCCTTTCTTACCTTGGCCATGTCTCTGAGTATTGCACACCTTGTGCTTTTGGGCACTCCAGTGATGTTGCAGCTCTGAAATATGGCCAAACTGGTGGCAAGTGGCATCGTGGCAGCTGCACGCTTGACTTTTCTCAGTTCATGGGCAGTTATTTTGCGCCTTGGTTTTTCCACACGCTTCTTGCGACCCTGTTGACTATTTTGAATGAAACGCTTGATTGTTCGATGATCACGCTTCAGAAGCTTTGCAATTTTAAGAGTGCTGCATCCCTCTGCAAGATATCTCACTATTTCTGACTTTTCTGAGCCTGTCAAGTCCTTCTTTTGACCCATTTTGCCAAAGGAAAGGAAGTTGCCTAATAATTATGCACACCTGATATAGGGTGTTGATGTCATTAGACCACACCCCTTCTCATTACAGAGATGCACATCACCTAATATGCTTAATTGGTAGTAGGCTTTCGAGCCTATACAGCTTGGAGTAAGACAACATGCATAAAGAGGATGATGTGGTCAAAATACTCATTTGCCTAATAATTCTGCACTCCCTGTATATATATATATATATATATATATATATATTTAACACACACACACAATGGCGGTTTAGTTACATTATATGATGTATGATCATATAATGTAACTAAACCCCCATTATTTTTTGCCTAGATTAGGTGTTTTTAATAAAACTAGCAAAATCTGTCAGCACCAAAGTAGCTGTTTAGTAGATAAGGGAGTGCGCTGGATTTTCATTTTTACTGTACTTATTGGCCCCCAGCAGCACCCCATTTAAGCATGTTCAGGTGAGTGCAGCCAGCCCCTTGTTTTCATATATATATATATATATATATATATATATATATATATATAAACAAAATAAGCCCAAATGTGTGCTAATTTTTTCAATTAATTTAGGTATTACTGTAAAATATGTCAGATACTTGCAGCACAATTAAGCAGGATGAGTACAAACAAGTCATCAGCAGTGGTTTAGGAATTGAGATGCTATTACAATATTTGAAAGAGCAATGAAATTAAAATATCGAATTGAGATCAACTGAGGTACCATTTCAGTAGCTAATAAAGTTTAACCACTGTTTATTAAAAAATCAGATGTTCAAATCCGTTTTTCCAGAAGGTCTTGTGATGTACTGGTAGGAAAGACACCCAATTAATGATTTCATTAATGTCCCAAAATGCATAACTTACCTAGGAGATATTTTGTCTGTATTGCTTTGAGGTGCAGCCTTGTTTATGTTCTTTAATGGTATAGCTTTGACCATCTTTAACTACTGAAATTCAATAAAGCACACTTTTCCGAGCAAATCCCTTTCCTGACAGACGTGTGTGAGTGCCAATTGGAATTTAAAAAAAAATGTTTTCAACTTTAGAATGTTAATGTGTTGTTGATATCATCTTGTTTTAGACCACAGTATGGAGGTAAATTTTGCCAGGGGTTGAGTCGTATTTACCAACTTTGCAATACCCATGCCTGCCCTCCCAATACTCTTGATTTCCGTGCCCAACAGTGTGCTGAATACAACAGCAAGCCATTCAGGGGGTGGTATTACAAATGGAAGCCGTACACTAAAGTTGAAGGTAAGTAACTCAGTGGTCCATACCAACCCAGAAAGATGTATAAGATAAGCACCATGAGATATTTGTATTCCCAAAACATCACTGCACTGCTCTATGATTCTCTAGTCTTGAAAATTGACCTTATGTCACCTGAACAGTCTGTAGGATGACGCCGTCTCTTGAATTTGTCTTCTGTACTGTCACACTTGAATACATTTGGACACAGTGTTTAGATTGCCTCTTAGATGTCCCTCTTCCAGAATAAATAAACCAAGCTTGCTACACACTCATCATATTTCAATTACTCAGTTCATTTTACTATTTATGTAGCTATAAATTCATTGAATTATGGTCCACTAAGAAATTGGATGGAGATCTGTGTTATGTTATGCTTCTAAAAGACCCAAACATTATCTGCCAATTCTTTTAACACTTCATTTAAAATCTTTGTTTTCACAGAAGAAAATATTTGTAAACTCTACTGCACAACAGAAGATTTCGACTTTTTCTTTGCACTATCAAACAAAGTCAAGGATGGAACCCCATGTTCTCCAAATGGAAATGATGTCTGCATTGATGGAAGTTGTGAGGTATTAAATACTGTGACTCTCACATCCCATTTACCATTACTCCAGCATATATTTACTTTTGTTTTTTTCATGTGTTATATGAAATATAAGCAATGTGATGGAACATGTCTAGAATCTGATATGCAGAATATCATGTAGATTGTGAGACATTTAAGATGCATTATTTCAAAACGAGATGTTTTGCGGTAGTGTATGCACTTGCTGAAGGTATCTGGAATAGATGTTGTCCACAAACCTCTGCTTTCAAACATTTAGTGATATACACAAAATTGGAGATTGTGGAAATTGATAAAGGTAGATTGGGTTCTGATCCAATAGAAACAAACTGGGAAAATTGATCAACTCATTTATTATAAAAGAGACAAAAAGGGGGCAGCGCTATATAACAGAGGAAGGGGGGGAAGCACACCTAAAAAGGGAAGTAGGAAGTAGGACAAACAAAACTTAAAACAGATGTCTACTCACATAAGATAGAGCTATAACCAGCTCTAGGTAAAACAGCATGAAGTGGTTTGTAATCCCCACTTGCACCCCCTCTGGGTATGGTAAATGGTGAGGCAAATCACAACTGGATAGCAGTGAGGCATTTAAAGGACCTACCAAGTCTCCTATAGATAGAACAATCTCAGTTTAGACAGGCAAATTTAAAAAAGAAAATTTCAAACCAATGCCCAAGGTCAAAGCTGAAAGCTTAAAACAATACGAATCTAGTGAAAGAAGAGACTAGAGGATAAAATTATACAGTAATATGAGTACAAAGATAGCCCACATTCTCTTATAAATTATTGTATACAGCTTTAATAAAAAGCTGCCAGTCGAGGGTCTGCTGAACATACATTTGTCTTGTTAAACATAATTTTACAAGTTCATAAAAGATCCATCTATATCCAACATGTACAAACACTAGACCATCCTGAAGCGTAACCAAAATATGTATAATTTACAATACAGCAAAAGAAGGATTTTAACTAAGTACTTAATTAATTTCCTGCATTGTAATTTGCATTATCTGGAGTTGAGTAAAATATCATTTTACAGAATGTACAAGCTAGAGAATGGATTTTAATTTCAGGCCTTGGCTCTGAGACAGCAGGAAGAAATTAGCCGTTGCATCCTCTGATATGATATGTTCCGACATTCTCAGGCTTCTAACATGCTTTTTTTATTCTGTGATTCTGGTGGCAGCTTGTAGGGTGTGATTATATTCTTGGATCAAAAGCAAGTCTGGATGCCTGCGGGGTTTGTAAAGGTGACAACTCGACATGTACATTTTACAGAGGGCAGTATCTCAACCATCATAAAACTAATGGTAAGGATATTTTAATATTTTGCAAGACAAAAATGTGCATATAATAATTCCAGCTTCTCACATTTTTAATTGTCTTAAATTACCTCTCGACCCTCTTGTCTGTCTCTACCTGTCTATCCATCTGTTTGTCTATCTATCTACTTTAAACAATATTTAATATGCCTGATAGTAGACAGGTGTACCACAGATCAGATTGAGTATTTAAAGGATGCTATAGCAAACTGGTTTCATAAGAATTTAGATCTGATATAGAATAAAACCTTTCTCGATATGAGTCATATAATAAATGGTCTATTCAATAAAGTTTGTTAGTAAATGTAAAATTTTTGTTTTAACTTTGCTAGCTGCCTCTTATCACTGGGGTCACTTACAATAGAATACATGCTTTAATATTTTATAAAGGGTTTGCGTACAATTCAAGTGACAGTCCATAATCCGGAATCAAGAAAATCCATTTTGTTGATTTGCTCGTTGCTTTGACCAATCACATTTAGCTTGGTAATTCTAAAAACTTACCAAATCACCTGATCTACCATGAGGATGAACAATATTAGTTTACAAGTTAGTTTATGACTGGTCATGTAGTAACAGAGATTCCGCAGACCTGCTGGAGATAAGTTTCTCTCTAAAGTTGGATAGCCAGTAGAAAAGTAAAAATAGGAATTAATTTAGTTTATTTTTGTCATTAAACGTCACTGCTGCAGTGTTCAGAGGAAGCACTGATATAAGGTATATTCTTTAAAGTTTAGAGAACATTATGACCAAGTTGGTTAACTTGCTTACCAAGAGCTTTTGATGATCTGCTAACTATTAAATAATTGTGTTATTACACACTGCCATGGTAATGGTAAAATGTGCTTCATACTTTTGTCTAGAGTATTATTCCATTGTGACTGTACCAGCAGGAGCAAGAAGTATCCACCTTTATGAACTTGAGACTTCGACAAGCTACTTTGCAGTTCGTAACCTAAATAAAAAGTATTACCTAACAGGAGACTGGACCATTGATTGGCCTGGAAAGTTTTTCTTTTCAGGCACTGTTTTTAACTATCAACGGTCTTACCAACAACCCGAAAGCCTATATGCAGCCGGACCACTTAATGAAACACTAGTCTTGGAGGTAGGTTATCTCTCTTCATTTTTAAACAAAGTTGATTCTTTAACATGGACATGTGTCGGTCTCGATTGCTTCTTGGGGTTATTGATCTTTTCCTAACCTGACATGAACGTTCCTATAATAATTGTTTCCGTACTGCTGCTGACATGACAAATCTCCTACTTTAAAAAAAGGCAACTAGGTGGAATGAACCACTCTAAGTAAACCCAATGGAGCGCTAATATTTGAATATACACTTACCTCTTTTATTAAAGGGGAAATACAGCTGAAACAAGATAAAGTGGCAAAATTTAGTGCAATATGCCTGATATGGTTGAAGTGGTTTAAGGTGTATATAAAACCCACTCACATGGAGCATAGCCCTACAACGATAAACTCAAATCTCATCGGCAGGGGCATATTAAGGCAATACCAGACCTCTTCTGTATATGTACACAGGGAGTGAGATAAAAAATGAATCAAACACTTCTAGTGTATTATCCTTAATACAAGTATAAATGAATGAAAAATACAAGTGATTGCTCACCTTTTAAAGAGCCAATTGTACCAGGCTCTAAGTATAGTAGTATATGTGCCTTTAAGAGGGCACAGCTCTTCTTTACTATGGAGCAAGATCTGCAGGAACTCACTGGACTTAGTAAAATGGCTAATATACTTTATGCAATATAATATCCTACTTTGTCTGTACTAGACTTGTATTAGGCAAGAAAATTTGGCTTGGCCGAACCATTTTTCCTAAAAATAGAAAATTTTTCAAGACGCCTGAAATTCTTAGTGAACTTTATTATGGACTTTGATAATATCACATACCAACTACTACTCCTATCATTTTAACTGAAATATGTACCACTTCTCAAGCTGAAAATATGATTTTGGGTTTCTTAAAGAAGCAGAATTCGTACTAATGGTAAATTGCATTAATTGTTTTGTGCCTCTGTAGTAAGGTATGCTACTTTCTATACAATAGTAAAAGATATATAATATAAAACAATTTCTGGTAATTTTGTGCACAGCAAGAATATTTTCACGATGGAAGAATTTCAGCCATATGTCGCCTTAGTCGAATTTATACTATATAATATATGTGGAAGGCATATGCTTGAAATTGTGGGAGGGGTTATTTGTCCTATTTAAAAGCCCAGTAACCTCTGCTTACCTGTCATCACCATTTTGGTGACTATATATATATAGAGAAAATATTTACAAAAATGTGAGGGTTGTACTCACTTTTGTGAGAAACTCTATATATATATATATATATATATATATATATATATATATATATATATATATATATATATATATATATATATAGAGTTTCTCACAAAAGTGAGTACAACCCTCACATTTTTGTAAATATTTTATTATATCTTTTCATGTGACAACACTGAAGTAATAGCACTCTGCTACAATGTAAAGTAGTTAGTGTACAGCCTGTATAACAGTGTAAATTTGCTGTCCCCTCAAAATAACTCAACACACAGACAACAAAAGTGAGTACACCCCTAAGTGGAAATGTCCAAATTGAGCTCAAAGTGTCAATATTTTGCCTGCCCATCATTATTTTCCAGCACTGCCTTAACCCTTATGAGCATGGAGTTCACCATAGCTTCACTGGTTGCCACTATAATCCTCTTCCACTCCTCCATGATAACATCACAAAGCTGGTGGATGTTAGAGACCTTGCACTCCCCCACCTTCTGTTTGAGGATGGCCCACAGATGCTCCATAGGGTTTAGGTCTGGAGACATGCTTGGCCAATCCATCACCTTTACCTTCAGCTTCTTTAGCAAGGCAGTGGTCGTTTGGAGGTGTGTTTGGGGTCGTTATCATGTTGGAATACTGCCCTGTGGCCCAGTCTCCAAAGGGTGGGCATCATGCTCTGCTTCAATATGTCACAGTTTAGTAATTTAGACATTTCCACTTAGGGGTGTACTCAGTTTTGTTGCCAACGGTTTAGACATTAATGGCTGTGTGTTGAGTTATTTTGAGGGGACAGCAAATTTACCCTGTTATACAGGCTGTACACTTACTACTTTACATTGTAGCAGAGTGTCATTTCTTCAGTGTTGTTACATGAAAAGATATAATAAACTATTTACAAAAATGTGAGGGGTGTTTTTTTTTTCTAGAGCTTGATAATTTGAGCTCAACTCGACCGATCACCTGATCGGCCCAAATTCAGGTGAATTGCACTTCGGACCTAAACGAATCTCCAAATCTAGTCCGAATAAAATTCCTTTTAATCCACACCTGAATAATTCCATCAGTCAGTCCAGGATTTGCCTCAGTAGTCTTAATCAATAAATAAAGATTCCACAGGTGAATCCTGGATGGAACAGTTCATTCGGTGTATTAAAAGTACTTTGATTCCAAAATATTTTTGCACAATTTCATTTAAAATTAGTTTTCTTATTGAGAACAATACTGCTATCAGAAATCTTAAACTCGACATTTTTTTTTAAAATCCAGCTCCTCACTGTTCAGCCCACTACTCATGAACTATTTTCCCTTCCACCACTTCTCTTCTTCTTGATGACCCTTTGATCTTCATCTACCTCTTGCTTCACCATCTCCTGGCCCTTCAGTGTCCAATGTAGCAACAAACATTTTTCTAAATTTCGTAACCTCTTCACAAACAACCAAAGTAAATTTCAAAGTCATTTACTATAAATCTTCCAGCATTATTTTTCCTTATGCTTACTGTGCCTTGACATTCTCTAATATAACAGCTGCATGAAGTTTACAGTTATAGGCTGGCACCGCCATGGAGGAAGCCACAGCATGACGTTGGACCATAACTAGAACACCTCCCCTCCAGTTACCCTAATGCACCTTTCACTTGGGATTGTCTGCTCTAGATGTGTTTCCTTACATATAGCTTCTCAAATTTCACAGATATTTTATTGAAAACTCCAATCACCATGTATAAAAAGACATTAGTGATTACATGTAATTGAACATATAATTCCTGATTTTTTAAAATACATTTTTTAAATATAGGATGTTTTGAGAGTTTGCAGTAATGCACTTTTTCTCTTTACACCAAGATGAGTCAGGCATACATTATGACCAGATAGCGACAGTTAGTACGTTTTACTATTTAGCATGGAAACCTGATCCTATATAGTGTTAAGCAGCTCTAATTAAAAGGTTATTCCAATCACCATGACCACATCAGTGATTTAAAGTGGTCATGGTACCTGGAGTCTGTATGTACAGCATTTTGATATGAAATGCTTTACATAAAGATTTTAACCACCCAGGTGTAATTACACCTCTGGCATCAACATTGGAGCATCATTAGTCATAAGTAAGCCCAAGATATGATCAGAAAGTGAAGAATAAAATAAGGTGAATTTGATTCGGACTAGACTTGGAGATTCGTTTAGGTCTGAAGTGCAATTCACCTGAATTTGGGCCGATCAGGTGATCGGTCGAGTTGAGCTCAAATTATCAAAAATAAAATAAGTTGAGTAGAACAATATACCATGTTAACCACCAGTAATGTTATAAACATACATTTATTTAATAAAAATTAGATCAATTGTAACACAAGTCCCATGCAGTGAAGTGTGGCTAGGGCTATAAAACAAAGTGATTTAAGTCCTGAATGAAAGAGAATTGAGCAGTAAGACTGCAGGGACATGTTCTATTCATCAAAACTGCTTCCTTAAGATAAGGTCATTTTTGGTAACTATAGGGTCCCTTTAATATTAAAATCTATGTCTTGGATACAAATGGAATTTGATGTCAATAGTGACTGCAATTTTTTCATTTTCTGACTAATTTCTAAATAAATGCAATAAGCATCAAAACTGCCCCATGTTCTGTACGATATTCTTAAAGCCAACACATGGCAAAGCAGAATCATCTTTCCGCTAATTTTAATGTTTCTCCGATAACAAAATTCATCAATAATTTGCAGAGGTGCTTTATGTGTATGGAACATGTAATTTTGTGAAAAGTGCAGATTTCAATAGAAATTGACACTTTAGAAAATAACCTAGATACATCTCCTTGACTGTCAATCAGTCCTGTTACTTCCTGGTTTGGTTAGTTGAGTGGAGCTAAACTCGAAAGGCAGCAATTGCCCAGTGTACCTGCCTTGCAAGGACTTCTCATTGAGATACAGTGGAAGTCTGTGATGGGACAGTCATTAGGGTAGAATGGGAGGACTTGCATAGGCTGGAGACAAGAGATCAGCAGCTTTTGATATTTTTTGATAGACCTCAATGAAAATGTTCTCATTATAAGTAAATCTACTGAACAGTAGAGAGTGACAGTAGAGAGCAGAGAGAACATGTCGAGAGTGGAATGTCCCTTTAACAATATACAGCTTTTTCCCTTCTACCTGATGGGTAACCACTTTCATTTATGGTGGACTGTAAAAAATGAGTTCGGTTTATATTTGCTGCTATAAGTAATGCAAGTTTATATTTTACTTTACTTTTCCTGGTAAGTTCCAGAATTGGAGTCTGTGGTTTAGAACTTAAGAAGCTGTAAATTTTATAACTCTGCCCTGTGGTCAGGCTTGCTGTGTGTTGTGTCTCAAGTCAGGTCGTTAATGTTAAGTAGACCTTAAACTAAACGCAGAACCTGGCCATGTTTAGAGTAGTTGATCACCAATTTAAATTTAGGAACAATTGCAGTTTGGCCAAGTAGGTTTTGCATCTTGGCCAGTTAAGTAGGCTGTAGTCCCGGAGGTCCTTCCAGCTTGAAGGCTTTTTATATGATTGACTCACAGTGCAGCCGTTTAATGTGGAGTTGTTAGGAAATGGCTTCATTTATTATTTAGGAAATGTTTAAATTACCCCTTGGATCAGTTCCACTAACTCTTTATAAATGGAAATGCTACGGTAGCTTCTAACAGAATTTTTCCCATTTCTCTGTTATACTTTTTATACGGATTTTCATGCTGAGTACATTACAGAAAACTGTAGCTTGTCAATATATTATGCAAATGAATCTACGGTTATCACTGCTGCCAAAAAATATGCTGGAAAATTTGGCACAGTGATGCTCCAAATATTTTATGCTGTGAAGGTTTTGGATTTCATTTTCCCCATTTAAAATACAGATTTATTTGAATGATCTGTTGAAAATGTTTAACCCATTAATTTTCACCTGCTTTATACCTTTAAAATGTTTATTATCCTCGGCAACAGAGGTTCTATGACACTTATTCTTGCAAAAAGGATTTACAAAAATCAATCAAATGTATTGTACCCTTCAATAAATACAAAGAAAAAAGATGTTGGTACAACTTGTCTTGTTGATTGACAGAGAGTTGATTTTGGAAATATGAAGCACGTTCTATTGTTACAAAAAAAGGAGAGGATGGAAAGGCAAATCTTGTCCAGTTGTTGCAAAGTGAGTAGAGGTCAGAAAGACAAGGACTGACTTAATGTGTCCAAGATATTTGAGGCTTACTGTTGGAAAATCAGTAGAAGTTTGAATGATGAGACTTGTCTTAATGTTGCAAAGGGAGCTTGAAAAGATGAGTTTGCCTTATTAGCGCAAAGAAAGTGCAGGTTGGATTGTTACTGTCCTAAATACTCAACTTGTAGCCTGCTGCCTCTCCGATGTTTCTCGCCCATGTTGTCTGGCTTTATAATAGAGAGCTGATGATGGAGGCCTTGCCATTTTTTTCATTTGCTCTTTGTTTTTTTTACCTGTGCTATATTTTTATTGCCCCTGCCCTCTGGTACCAATGCCTTGGCTTCACTTGTCAATTTATATACCATTAAGTTTCCCTGGACAAAACACCTTACCTAATATATCCAACTACCTCAAAGCCACATAGATTGTGAGCTTGTTTTAGCATGCCCTCTGTATATCCCCCTTTTCTATAATTGTACAATTCTGTAGAATATGTTGACTCTATATAATTTGTTAGACTAACTTGACCATTTACTAGCATTCCCTTACTAGTCTACCTGTTCGCAAGTTTACTTTTTGTTGAACTACTGTAGGCATTGCATCAGCCCACTCAGGACCTGCTCTATGTCTCTATCCTCTGTTCTTCTGTCTAAATGTCTGACTAGGTTTGGGGTATTGGCATTCATTTCCTTAAACTTGACAGTTGCAAAGAGAGCTGAGATTGGAAAGAGGAGTCTCATTTTCATTATTGCAATGAAAGTGAAGGACGGTCGGCTAAGTCTGTTGCTTTTACCGAACAGTGAATTTATCTTAAATTTAAAAGAGCTCTATCGACAATGCATTCTTGGCTAATAATCATAAAAGAAAACACATCGGGCAAAAACAAAAGTTCCTTTTATAGATGCAAAGCTACAAAATGTGCATTTTAAAAATGTAATGGTTTAAACATCGTGTTGTTGACCTTAATCTAAACAATGTGTTAAAATGACCATTTTTTTCCTGTATCACAGCTTATGAACTCATTTTATTATTCATTGTTCACGTTGTTTTATTCCCGTTTGGATTCATTAAAAAGTTATTTCTATTTTCTCAATCATAAAAAGATAGAAGCACACAATGCTGGCTAGTTTTGAAGCCCTAAGCTATTTGCATACCTACCAAAGGGATTTATATTGTAGCTGATGTAATGAAACTCTGCTGAATATCTGTCCTAAGGTTTGACATAGACTCCATCAAATTTATAGCTGTGGTACAAGTAGGAAGTAGAGAAGACACATCACATTAGTAATGTACATTTTTAAGATGTTTTTCAACAGGGGCACTAAGGTACAAATCTATCTACAAATTGCCTTCTTTACTACTTACATTTGAAGTCATTTGAATAAATAAATATATAGTATGCGAGGTGCTTGCAAATATATTCATGTCGTGTTTCTTAGAATCTCTCTTGAATTGTTTTTATTCGAGGATTTCTGGACTGATTTAGAGAACAATAAAAAAAAGGTTTATTGAGCTAGTGAGAGAATTTTACTGCATGAAATAAGAGTAAATCAGCATTTTTTTCCTAAAACCACAGAAAAAAAGGCAAGTGGAAAACAATTCGAGTATTCTGGATGATATCCTAACTTTTCTGCTGATTCCAACGGGACTGATCAATTGTAGGGCAGCTCTAGCAGAAATAGAACTGTAGGATTCAATTTTATTCATTATGTAATTTGCTGCTAAACATGAGCTAACTGCCTTGGGTTTGTTTTTCAAAATATTTCATTAAAGTACACCAGAAAATGCATATAACAGTCGAAGTAAGATTCGTAAATGTTCTCTAATAACATACCAAATATACAAAAAAAGTATGATTACAAGGCAAGCCAAGCATGAACAAAAATCTACTGCCAGAACCTGTAACCTAGTGGCAGTCAATAGCTGTTGGGGATCTCATATGGACCCCCTACAGATAAGTTAATTTCCTGGTGGTATATTTAATTTAATTTCTATTACCACTCTACATGTGACATGTGCAAGGGAAACAGATATTTCCATAACTATTGCCTCAGTTTAATATTTTTGGATACGCCTTTTTGGATGTTTTTGATATGTGATAGTTTTTTTCTATTTTAATATTTTTTTTTTAAATCACTTTGAAATCTTTTATTCAAAAATAATAAATCCTTTGAAAAGCATTTCCCGAAAAAATAAATCAAGGCCTATGTTTCCCCTACTTTACTTGGTTTAAGTAAAGTAATATTTATTTATCCATAGTCAAAAATGGGTCGCAAGAGAATACTGAGGACGGGCAGCAGCTGAAATAGCCTGCCCTTCGGTCAGTCCCCACTCAGTTCTCAAGCTGATTTTTGCTCATATTGTCCCATTACAGAGAGAACATATCTGAAGCATATCAGACTGGTCCCACCCATACGGGCAGTCCAGATACGCAAATTGCATCAGAAAAGAAGGAAGATGGAAGATTATGCCATCTTTCATTCACAATGGACTACCATGGAATAAAATTATTATAGGGGAAATGGCTGTTGGGTCAAAAAGGATTTGAAGATTTGGACTTGAGTACTGCTAAACCCCATGATTTAATGTTATTCCACTGTGCACTGTTGTATTTGTATGAGGTTCTGGGAGTGCGCTTATGTGATTTTATTTCTGCTTGCCTATGTGCATAATGTCTCAAAACAAATTGCTAGGTAAATAAAAAGTAGTACATTTGCATTGAGTTATGAGACTCTTCGATTGGCTCTAGAGAAAACAAATGTTTCCATTTATCATAAAATTATGGCTATTAAGAAATGTTGTGCATTTCATTACCAGTGGGTAGTAGGTACTGAAGAATTATAATTATCAATTAATCATACTATACTATAAATATCAAATATTTCTAAGCCAAACCTAAATATATTCAAGCGGTATATTGGATCATGGTATAAATGTGCACACACAAAAAAAAAAAGATTAAGTACATAAATGGTATCACTCACTGAGATGTATTTACTAAATACCCTTTTGTAAGGAATTTCCAACATATCTTTAACAATTAGGCCAAAATGGCTAATTCGCCAAAAACAGATGACAGCGTATTTTTCATTTTTTTTTTTCTAAACTGTGTATTTTGATCTCATTTTGTAATTCATCATATGGATGTTAAGGGTGTTTACTGTGAGGTAAGCAGGGTGTAAGCTCAATGAGTTTACTCAACAAGGATAAGGTTATGAATTACAGAAGTAATTTTCTAATTAGTTTGCAATGTGTTCTGTTTGATAGGTAACTATATACTTATTAAGCTTCAATATGTTTTTCATTAAGATCCTGTACCAAGGGAAGAATCCCGGTATTGCATGGGAGTATACCTTACCCACATCTGCAAATGAAAACCCTTCAACAAAGAAAACAGGTTTTTCCTGGGTACCGTTGTACACAGAGTGTTCTACAACATGTGGTGGAGGTTAGTTATGGCTACACCTTTGTAATCTTAGAATCTTAGACACTAAAAGTATGCAATCATTCTACATCATTCTTCTGGATCAATCTGGGCTCCTTTTTTCTAATGCATTCAAAAATGAAGTGTTAAGTAGTTTACAAGTCGCCATTAGTTTAATTTGTGAATACATGTGAATGTAACTACTGGACAAGCTAATAGATACTGCAGTGCTGTGATTCAGCCTATAAACATTATTAGCAAAGGTACTGGGTGTACAAAACTTGTATGGCCAGGGTTAAGTAAGGCTATATCTGTGATGTCATGCAATGCATACAACTACAGCTATTTATGTTTTACAAAAAGTGCAGAAACCATGGTTAAATACCACTAGCGAAAAATGTTTGCCTCTACATATCTTGTAGCACATGAATATACATTGTGGAAGAGATTGAGGGCAAGGCGATCTATCTTTGTTCATCTCATTTGCATATGGCCACCCATAATCCCTTGCAGTAATAACAGCATTGCAAATGTGAGATTTATGTAGGACAAGTAAGTCTTATGGTTCGGCTGGTGTGTGCAGATCTGTGCTTAACAATGTATTTACTATCCACTGACTTTGGGTGGACGGGGTTTTCAATTACATTGTTCCCCATTATAACTATACTAGAATGTACCGATCGGAAGTGAAGAAGAGATATCTTCTCTGCTTGGAACTCCCTGGATTACAGGGGGTTAAAAATTATTTTCATGTTGCCATATTGTATCAGCTGTCTAGGGACATTCTGGCACACTGATAAACTGAGTAACATTATTGCTGATAAAATAATGTTAACCAGTATTTAGATGCATTACAAGATTAGGTGCAATAATATAATATGTTAAATTACACACATTTAAAATGTAATGTTTTTAAAAAGTTATTTTCATGATTTCAAAATGTGAATGTGGCTAATGTGTAGAAGTCAAAACCTTCCTTACACAATCCACTAAAAATAAATGTACGTCCCATCCATTCCAGGTTATATGACTGCAAAATTGGTTTGCCTACAAGATCTCCGTGTTCAAGTGAATTCCACTTTGTGTGGACCATGGACCAAAAATCTCCTTCCTCCAAAAATATGTAATATTCACCCATGTCCAGCATAGTAAGTGTTAAATTATATCATTTTATTCAAAGTGCAATCTTTTTTACTCCCCCGCTCCCCCCCAGTGTTTTAGCAAATATTTTACTTCTTTTTTTTTTTTTGGTGTTATTTTTTAGTGTGTAATGCTTTGACTTAATGTTTTAATTTAAATTTCAGTTTTAAATTATTATTACATCTTAAAATAGAAATCCAAATTCATTCACATGTATTAATATATGGCCTGTCGTCAGATATTCCCTTTAGGAACAAACACAGAAATATACAATATAATAATATTCATTATATAAATCCCACATTCTGTTGACACGGTAAACATCAGTGTTACAGAAGAGTATTGCCCTGTATTTTTCTTGCTATGTTGTAGTTTAGATCTGTTGTAGTTTGCCTCTACTGCCTGTCTATACCAGTAACATTAAATGCTCTGCATTCACTTGAATCCAGATAAAGTTATATTCTGCAAGCATAACTAACAGCAGTAGAACTCTGCTGGTGAAATTGGAAAAATAAAAACTGTTACCAAATGCCTTTTTATGGGCAGCTCTAAGATTCTGGAGAAGATTGGTGTGAAGTCTCTTCCTCAATGTCATCTATATTTGTGAATAGGTTGAAACTCTCTCGGGAATGCCAATGAACCCCCCCCCCCCAAAAAAAAAAAAATATTGCCACTAGACCACTTTTTCTTACCCCTCACACTCTACTTATCTGCCTTGCAAAGTAACAAACAGCATTGCCAGAATTCAGTACTGAGAACGTTGCAGTTCTACGCCTGTTAATGTACCTTTTAGCCTCCCATTACCTATCCTAACAAGAGACCCTTGTAACTTTTTATAACTCATGTCTAGAGGAATTTTTAAATGATGCTGAACTTCTCTTAATAAAACTGTCTGTGCAAAATACTTTGAGCTTCACTGTAGTCCTGATTTCTTTGTCAGGTTGAGAAGAGCATTAAATGTTTGTCAGGAGGTAAAGGCATACTCTGTATTTTTAATTGGCCATGTCACCCTAGAGGGTAATTGTATTTTCAGTAAACAAATCCTGAGGTTGTACTGAGTTAATAAATGGCTTGCATCCATAATTTAATGGGATGCGAGCCTACATTTGATGCCCCCTTAGCTGATTTACATGTCAGTAAAGCTCCTGAGGCAAAGGAACTTTGTCTTGCTAGTAAGCAGAAGATACATTTGATGTCCGTTAGTGAATGTACTTGACAGTAAGACACTTGAGGCAATGGTATGTTGTTTTGGTACTAAGCTGTACATGTAAAGCACTGATCTATTCTTGTATAATTACCTGCTTGTGTTTATTTGGCAATTGAAGAAGAAAGCTTTAATAATTATGCTTGTTAATCATTAATAATTAAAAATGATGAATACTTAAATAAATATTAGTAAATATATGGGCAGAGAATAAAAAAGCAAGTCATTCTACTTACATTGTTTTAATATACATTGGCCATTATCAAATTGTAAATTCCTGTTAGCATCTTCCATTGTTGAATCTGTCTATATTGATTATTAATTAAATAGACTAAACCAAAAGCTAAAAAATATGTGTCCTTCACTTGCAGCTGGAGAACAGGTGAGTGGAGTCCATGCAGTGCTTCATGTGGTGGTGGTGGTGAACAGACACGTCAAATTCAGTGTGTCCAAAAAAAGGAAACAAATACTGAGGAGTTGGTCAGCCACTCACACTGTCCCGTAAGCACTCCTACCCAAGTGCAGACCTGCAATATCCAAGACTGCCCAGCAGAGTGGAGCACAGGACCCTGGTCTGAGGTAACTTCCTAAAAAGAGAACTACAACTCTTATATTTTGTGAACAGGACTTACTCAGTGATTAAATTGGCACTGTTCTCCTCCCTCTCTCACTGAAAAATAAGTATTTCATAAAGATAGAATTGTTATGAAATACTCATCTTGACTGTGTTGGAATTTCACTGAACTTCACTGAAATTCCTTCCCGGTCAAGAGATATACAGAGACTAAATAAGGACTACTTTGACTATTTTTCTCCACCTCCTGACTTTCTTTGACACAAGGCAGAGCTACAGAGTCAATCTGTGTTTATGGAGGCTGTGTATGTGGAGGATTCCGCGGTCTCGTGAGATTCCCCACAGACAGCAATGCTGTACTCTCACACACGCACAAGAGTACTTTAATCTGATCTCATTCTATTCCAACGAGGTTTGTGAAATAATTTGGTAGGTTTGTTGAACTCCACCTTTCATAATCCTAGCAGATCTATACCAAATTTATACTTGGAAAAGTTGGTACATTTCCTGGTAAAAAAAGGTTTAATATATTTTATTTAATATTGAATTACTCTTTAAAACATGTATACATACATTTTGTTTTCTAGTGTTCTAAAACCTGTGGAAGGGGGATTAACAAACGTGAAGTTTATTGCAAAAGTGTGAGCTCAGGAAAGTACAAAGTAATACAAGAAAATCTGTGCCCTGTGGAAGGGAAGCCTGAACCCATTCAGAGCTGTATACTAACACGTTGCCAAAAAAGTGACAAACTTCAGTGGGTGATTTCAGCATGGTCTGAGGTAATTATCACAGATTATAACCTTATAGGGGAAATAAAAAATGTAAGCACAATGTATTTATCATTATTCATACAATTTTACATACACATTTCTGTGTTCTCTGACTTCATGTCCTATGCCTAGCTCCACCCCCTTTCTCACTCATGTCATACAGGAAAACATTACTTCACCGTTCTACTTATGTATTTATACTGTGTGAGTACAAACTGCATGCTTAGTCCATGAACGTCAGACTCTTTTACTTGTAGTACCTGTGTTTTATGCATGTACACAAAGATTATTCCCTACCTGGCTCAGAGCACTGAGCACCAAGTCAGGTAGGGAATAGTGCTGCTTGCAAAAAAAAGGAGATTGGCTTGAATGGAACACACTTACTTAGCTAAGATTAGATAAGATTAGATTTCATGGACAGCTTCCTAGGGCAATAAACTGTAGTGGTTAGGATTGTCCTGACTAGGCATCCTAGGAAATTTGCAAACTTGAGGAGTGTCAAAGTTTACTACTTGGTTATCTTAATAACCAGCATTTTGATTTATTATCCTACCTTTTTTTTTTACATTGGATGAGAAGTTTATCATACATTTTATGTTTAAAATGATTTATATTTTGTGTTCAGTGTTCGACAACATGTGGTCCTGGGATTAAAAAACGTGAACTCAAATGTGGTGAAAAGGATAATCATGGCAAATTAATCACGTTCCCACAAAGGAGATGCCGTAGCCTCTCAAAAGTGAATATAGCACTTGAGCAGACATGTAACAACAGCCCATGCCCAGTAGAAACATCTCACAATGTGTATAATGGATGGCATGCTTCACCGTGGCACCAGGTACTTTATGACAAAAAGGTTCTGCTTACATGTTGAATGCAACATCAGTTGTGTTCTATAGTACATTTTGCTTGGTGGTGTGACTATTATAAATAATAATAAGTGAGCATTTTGAAAACAAGTACCATTAAGACCTGATGAAGAAATATCTCATAGATGTCAAGGGTTATTTTCAAATATTCATATTCCAAATATTCCAAATGTCCAATTTTCTGGGATAATCTTAGTTCCTCATCACATATTTATGTGTCTTTCCAGTGTTCTGTGACATGCGGTGGAGGTGTACAAGTCAGGAACGTTCAATGTCTTCGTCAGGGAAGACCAGCCTCTGGATGTTTGCCACATCTGAAACCTATCACATCACAAGCTTGTAACACAAACTTTTGTCCATCTTCTGGGACAAAAGGTAGTTCATTTCTTTCATCCTTTTTAGTACTAGCATTACTACAACCAGGTGTATGGTATCATATATGAGTTATGATCAATATCTAAAATATATGAGAGTATTATTTGTTAGGTGTAGGTAGGTCAAATATTGCAACCCTTTGAACTTTGTTGAAAGCCCTCTGTCTTCATATCCTAATGATTAACATCCCACGCATATGTGTAGACATAAGATAATTTATTTTATTTTCATTTTTTATAATAACCTTTTTGTCACAAATGCACATCCTGCTAAATTCTGTAAAATATGAATTGTTTTGGTTGTTCAAAAACTTTATTTAAAGCTGCCACTAAGTTTGATTTCTGAATGTTTTGAATGGTTTCGTTTTATATATATATATATATATATATATATATATAAAATGAAACCAATATGTGGTACATCGATTTAATGCAATCTACTAATTTAATCTAAAAACAATGGCTACATATTTGAAACTTTGTTGAAAAAAAGGAAATAGAACATATTGACATACAAATGAGTCTTCTCGATTAGGGATTCAGTAGTCCATATTTGTTAGATAACATTCTCCAATGAGCCATTGTTTTTATTTGTTTATTTTTTTATGTGTATAGTTATATATAGTTTCACTGACTTTGTAAAAAGAGCCCAAAAACTAACTCACCTGAATGTTTTAACTTACAGAAGATTCATCTTGTGTTGATTACTTTACCTGGTGTTCACTGGTCCCTCAGCACGGAGTCTGCAATCACAAATTCTACGGAAAACAATGTTGTAAATCATGTACGAGAAAGAAAAACTATGGTGATCCTCTGAACTTTCATTGACAGCACGTTCCTTGAGTCTTCAATGCATACATTTCCTCTGATACTGATAACCGTAGATCAAAAATTTATCTTTGATCTAACTGCTGAAGAATGAACGCTACGATGGAAATCAGCAGATCTTATCAGAATTTAATGAATGTTTCCAGTTACATTTTGGATTAATTTATACTGGACGGAAATTGCATTTTGTGCTCTCCATTTAGGAAAAGCAGGGGACCAGTGTGCATATTCTGAGCCATCATACAATACATACTGTGACAATATAGCACTTGTTAACTGAAACTAACTTTTATATATTTTTTTTTAAAAAAAAATATATAAATTCATTTTTTCAAATGGATTTATACTTTTTTGCAGATCTGAACAATTATGTTATTAAAAAAAATTCAGCTAAAGCTATATAAAAATGTAACACTACTAGAAAACATCTACTTTATAGGATATTGCTGGTGTGATGATTAGATGTTTGACTGCACGAAGGAGAAATGTTGAGTCAAAGCAGTCTGACCTTTTTAACGGGGTAGAGCATATTTTTGATAATCACAATAATTTGGTCTTTAACAATGAAATCTTCAATAATGAAAGCATTGGAGATCTCAGGCAGGCCTGAGTCCTCCAAAGAGGTTGAAGAACATCGGATGGCCAAGTTCTGGAGTTTACTATGGCCAAAGCCCTACAATTATAAAATCAATAAAATTACCATAGTATACAGAATGATTGCTTTTCTTCTTGTTCTTCTTAAGACTTTACTTGAACTCTGTGAACTGGAAAATCAGACTCATGATTAGAAGACAATCATTCTTCATACATTCTGGAAATGAGTAAGCAGGGTGGATATTTCCAAAGCCAGTTGAAACAAATATCAGCAATACTGCATTTTGGATATTGTGACATAAAGTGATAAACAGAAAAATTATACAAGAATAGCTATTTACAAAACACAGGTGCTTTTTAATTTACTTGCTGCTGGAAAAGCAAGTTTCTGTTAAGTGTCATTACGATTGTTTGTTGAGAGAACCCTTTTTTGTTATTCTCTATTGTATTATAAGTCGACAAAAAAATTCTAAGATAAATGTGTAATGAAAAAAATGTATCAAACTATCTAGAAAGGTTTTGTGTACAAATCTATATTAAATTATTTTGCTTTTGGTATAAAGTTGTAATTTTCTTTTGTTTAAACATTTGACTGTATATCAAACTAACTCAACCCAAGATTTGTAGTTGGAAAGGTCCCTAAGGATGAAAAAAACTAAAACAGATGCAATGGGAAAATAATGAAACCATTGTGACTTTGATTTACATTAAAAATGTCTAAAATGCATTTTAATTCAAGAAGCCATCTGTGGGTAATTGTTGAAAGGTGCAGTATTTCATAATTGCTACTGAGGATGCAATTTTGTATAGTAATATTATTATTATTATTATTATTATTATGTTTATGAGCGACAACAAATTCTGTAGCGCTTTACAATGGGTGGACTAACAAACATGGAATTGTAACCAGACAAGTTTGACTCACAGAAACAGAGGGGTTGAGGGCCCTGCTCAATGAGTTTACATGCTAGAGGGAGCAAGGTGAGGGAAGTATTAGGGAATTAGATTGGTAGAACAGTATTTAATGAAGACTTGGTGTGGGGTTATGCAGCCATTAACAGTTTAATTGATATGCTTTTGTGAAAAAGTGAGTTTTTAATGATTTTTTGAAGGAGTGGAGACTAGGTGAGCATCTAACATAAAAGGGAAGGGAGTTCCACAGGAACAGTGCAGCTCTAGAGAAGTCTTGAAGGCGAGCATCAGAGGTGGGAGTACGAACAGAGGATAGATGCAGGTCTTCGGCAGAGCGTAATGGCCTAAACGGGACATATGGCCTAAATGGCCTAAACGATGACAAAAAAAACCATCAAAGTCACATAAATAAAAAGAGCTAAGGGATAAGCAGTAGCGATATAAAAATAGTAACTCCTTAAGGACCAATCACGGTCTATGCCACCATAGCAATCTCTTTAAAATTCCTATTCCGAAATTAATTCGCACTGTAGAGTCAAAATACTAAATAAGCAAGATGTTGCATGTTAACAATCAACCTTTACCTGGAAACATAGCTAAAATACAAAAGCATTTATGAATATTTGCACACATCAAGTTGTACGTTAACAAATATATATATATATATATATATATATATATAAATATATATATATCATGGTGTAAAATACATAAATAATCTACTTTGAGTACATCACAGGCCAGTAGAGGTTTGGTATTGTGTCATGATTTAAAGCTATGCTCTCTTTAGCATAATTCGACATTAGATTAAAAAAAAAGACTAAAATGAATAACTGGATTGCCAAAACCATTAGAGTTCAGACATGGTAATGCTCTACTGTAATTTTCTGAGGAGTGGCATTAAAGAAGTATAATTATTGAATTCCATTTGATGCCACAAGTTATTTTTTTCTCTTTTGAGGAACAAAGTTTAATTTTACTACAGTGGTGAAAGGAACAACTAAAACTATGATTTTCAAAATCAGCACTAATGCTAGACAGTGGTCAGTTAAAATTAGCAGCTCGATGAATGGAAAATGTATCCCTGCTTTTCAATACTTTATAATATTTTTTATTTGGTAAAAACTAAAATGGCTCCATGTTGGGGACGTATCATAACTGTTAAAATTCAAACTAATATTAATGCTAAATGTAATGAAAATATACATTTATAAATATAGACATTCATTTAAAAAATTGGTAATATATTATAATTTTACTGGAAAATTATAACTCATTTAAATGATGTTTGATTACAGAAACTGTTGATTGATCTTCTGAATTTATATATCTTAGAGCTTTGTTCTCTAAAGTTGGAAATATGCTCAGTAACTGCTCAGATAAATGCTCATTGATTCATGGTAAAGAAAACTATGGTATGTATTAAATACATAGGTACATGGTGACAAAATGCAGTATCAATAGTATAGCTAGTATCAGAAGTATATCTTGAAAGCTGTTGTATACAGCAAACACAGACTCAAAGGAATCCATGTTTACAATGGAATGAGGCAATAATGTGATTCTTTGTTAAACTACTTTGCATATGCCCACCCAGAATCCTTTGCAGTAGAAATATCACTGCAAATTTGTATGGCTTGACTGGTGTGCAGATTTTTGTTTAACGCTGTATTAACCATACACAGACTTCAGGTGCAAGGGGTTTTCAATCACATTTATTTTCCCATCATAACCTTTTTGGTTTTTGATTCCCAAGCACTACCAAGCCTCAATAGCCAGCCAGTAACCAACCTCATGCTGATGATTTGCATTAACAATGAAACAGCTGTCCATGAGTGGTTTACTGGCTTTGCATCATTTCTCAAGTTGTGTTTCAAAGCTGTTGTATACAGCAAACACAGATTAAAAGGAATCCATGTTTAAAATGGAATGAGGCAAAAATGTGATTCTTTGTTAAACTAATTGGCATATGCCCACCCAGAATCCTTTGCGGTAGTAACATCACCAAATTTGTGATTTCTGTGGGAAAAGCAAGTCTTATGGCTTGACTGGTGTGCAGATTTTTATTTAACATTGTAAAACTATATATATATAGGAGGGATAAGGGCTGTAATGGGGGAGATAGGGGCTATAATGGGAAGGTAGGGGCTGTAGTAAGGGGGTAGGGGCTGTAATGGAGATGACAGGAGTTGTAAATGGGGGATAGAAATTGTAGTGTACGGGTTGGATGGTTATGTGCTGTAATAGGGGTTGAGTCTGCAGTGGTGTATAAGGGCTGTAGTGGTGGGGTATAGGCTTGTGTTGGAAAATACTGGCTGTAATGGGGGGTACAGGGGCTGTAATGGGCAGACAGAGCTCTAATACGGCACAAGAGGAAATAATCTCGAGACACTCAATGTGTTTAAACCACAGGCAGGTTTACTGGATCACAAGGTGAAAAAGCAGATGCTCTGTCAAATTTTTTTTTTTTTTTTATATATATATATATATATTTTTTTCCAGTGCAAAAGATACATGGGGTACCCCAAAGGCACTCCACATGCTATTACGGAACATTTCCAACATTCAGGAGTACGTTGATACTTGCACATTTTTATAATTAGTCTGCATTTAACCCCTTAAGGACACATGACATGTGTGACATGTCATGATTCCCTTTTATTCCAGAAGTTTGGTCCTTAAGGGGTTAAACTAGCTTAGCCATACTTTAGCATTGGTAAGTATAAAACAAAATTATGTAGATCAGGCAAAATAGAAAGTATAACGCTATACATAAGACTGCATGGGTATTAAAGTGGTTTAGGGTTAGTTACGTGGGTAGGTGCGGTTGTGTCTCTGAGTGTCCAGCAAATTAAGTCCTGTACGGAAGACAGACTGAGTGTTGGGGACGGAATGGCCGCTGATCTCAGCCGATGCCTCTGGTATGTCTCTCTGGGTAGATTGTGCTGTGGCACGGCACGGCATCTCCCCAGTTGGTGTACCTCCGTATGCTCGGACCATGAGGGTCTGTGTCTGTGCTAATGCGGTATACCATATGGCGCCCTTCTCCATTATGCGCCGGGAAAACTGTCATAGCTGCTTGTCCGTCGTTCTTTGGGAGTCAGGTGCTTGCACTGTTTGGATCTCATACCTGGCTTCGGTCGCTTTGAAGTAGAGCCTCGACGTTTTGGGGGTAGGAATCCTCCACTGCCCCAGAACTGTGGGAGAGCTGGTGCTTGTAGGCCACGAGCTTGGGAGCCTACGAGGCCCAGGGTCGCCCCTTGCGGCGTGGTGCGGTGAGTATCATTCAGTCACTGGCTTGGTCGCTGTGCTGCTCTCCACCAGTGTGGCCGGCACCTCCGGGTCATACCCTTCGTTGCTCTCAGCCCGGGAGGGCTCTGGACGTGTGGAGCTGGAGTGTGGTTCATAGAGTTGCCCTGGTGGGTGTCCCCATTCCTCCGCCTGTCTTCGACTCCCATCCTCGCAGCCTTTTGGCAGAGTCTCTTGTGCAATCTTTAGTGCAATATTTAGTTGCTGCTGTAGCAGTTTGGTGCCATCGCTTGTCCGACACTTGTGTGTCAGGATGTTCCACCATCTTGGGGGCCCCTGCCTCCATTTTGTGTAGGGAAATCGGTGCGCCTGTCTCTCGGTGCGGAAGCTGGAGCACCACCCCGTCTGGTGGGGACCGAGATATCCCCCGTCAGTCCATGGGGGGGGGGTGAGTTTGTTCCTCACTCATAATGCGGTTGGCATCTGGCGGGAAGGCGGCCGTCCGACCACCGTGCCTCCGCTAGGCCTCACGTTGCCGCTGCGGTTCCCGGTCAAGTACGGCACTAAGGATGGTACCGACAGGTCTGTTGGAACTTCCTCCGTGTACTGTGCCCAATTGTGGTTAGTTTCCATCAGTTAGATTTAGGTTATACGTGATTTTCGGGCTCTCTCCGCAGGAGCTCACACAATTTGCGACTTGTCTGTTAGCTGGTTCGGCTCTGCCCCCCCCTGTCACATTTTGACCCAACAAACCTACCTGTGGTTTGAACACTTTGAGTGCCTGGAGATCTATCATTGTGGGATTTGCTGGTCCTGCTTCAGTGCACCTGTTATTGACTGGTATTGAGTCCAGTTCCTCTTCTAATTTTGATAACACAGGGGCTCTAATAGGGGCTGAAGTAGGGGAAATAGTGGATGTAATGGTGGGAGTGGGAGCTATAATGGGGGGATAAGGGTTGAGGAGAAATTATGAAGATAAAAAGCTATAAATAGTTATTTGCCCCTTCTGTGGCTTACCTTGGGCAGGAACAGGGGGATCCTTGGTGGTCCAGTGATCCCCTGTGGTCCAGTGGCAGATTAACATCATAGCTTCCCTGGTGTTCACTTTATCTGCTCTCAAAACCTCTGGTAACCCACGTCAACAATCTAAACACCAGAGCTCACTGGAGGAATTTTGGTCTGGATTTGTGTCCCACTTGGGTCAATCACTCTCTCCAGGTTTAAAGATGACCAACAAGAATGTGCAGCAGCCATCATTTAAAATACTGCAGCTGACCTGAGCAGAGGGGCCACAGGGTTGTGATGGGGCCTCTTGGAGGCCCTCTCACTAGCTCAGGCACTCGGTCAGTCCACCTCTAGTGGTGAGCAAAGATTACCTCATCTGGTCTGATCCCACAGAAGAGCTACTGTAGCTAATATTGCTGAAAAAATTTAATGCTGGCCAAAATAGAATGGTGCATTGTGGTTTGCTGTGTATGGGGCTGTAGTCATAGTAAAGCTTGGGTCCTGGCATGCATGTGGATGCTACTTTGACACATACCACCTACCTAGAGATTGTTGCAGACCACATATAGCCATTCAAGGCAGTGGTGTTCCCTGATGGCCTCTTTTAGTGGGATAATGCACCCTGCCACAAATTTAAAAAGTGCACAATAAGGAGTTTAACGGTGAAGCTCTAACACCTTGAGTGATATCCCCTAAACCACCTCTACAAGAGACATAGAAAACATACATACATAAGGTGGAGCTTCATATACTGCCACACTGCAAAAATTGTTCAGGAATAATTTGAGGAACATAAAAAAGAGTTCAAAGTGTTGCCTTGGCCTCCAAATTTCACAATTCTCAATCCAAATGAACATGTGTGGGATGTGCTGGAAAAACAGATCCAATCCATGGAGGCTTACCTTGCAACTTGCTGGACTTAAAGGATCTGCTAATGTCTTGGTGTTTGCACAAAGGGGACCTACACAATATTAGGCAGGTGGTTTTAACGTTGTGGCTGATCAGTGCACACACACACACACTGTTTATAAGTCATTTTACAGTGTTTATAACTGAACACCTGTTTTTGCCACTTGTTAAAGGTTTATTTATATAATACAACCCCCAGAGCTATTTTGAGTGATTAACCATGGAATTATTAAACCCTCTTATTTGCTGGCTCTAATCTGATATCCTTTAAATGCTCTTTTATGTAGAATTTCCCTATAATTTCCTGCATGTGGTTACTTTTTACTGTACACCTGAGGGAAGATTATGCAAACCGTATCATATTTATAATTTTAACTGGTTCATTAGACATTACAATATGTGGGGCATTACAGTAATTTAGGGACATGAATAGACAAGAGACACATTTACGTGATCAAATATTTGTTTATACTAAATAATTAATAATGATATTCTGCTAGATGCTTCATGAACATATTTAATGAAGAACAACAAGTTTTGGAACTTTCTGAGTTTGGTTATATTGACTTTAAATTTAAAATTCACTTTGATTTTGCACATTAATTAATAACCTTGTAAACTGCATGATCATTTTTTTTTCAATTGTTTCTTCGATTTATTTTTCTTCTATTTCATATAGCTATTAATTATTCAGATTCTGGTAGAGGCAATCAAAAATGAGAAAGATGTTAATTTTGCACTCATTCAAAAATGTCTACTAGATTGCCACGCCATGTGGACATTCATGAAACAAATGAAATAGGCAACAAGCTGGTTCAGTGTTCAACAATTCAGAGTTCCGTCCATGGAATGGAGAATAATTTTTTTTTATAATTGCAGTATGCCAATTCATGCCTTTTCAGTGAGAATTATTTTTCCTTAAACAATCGAAACTCAAAGAAACTGAGTCACCACATGGAAGAAATATGCTCTATTTAAATAATATTTTTTTTCCCAGTCCAATCAATTTCGGAGAAGCCGTATGTTTTCACTAGTTTAATGTCTACTATAAATTTTCAGCTGGCTAATAAGTGATTGTTAGCATATCATCTAATAAGCATGCACATATTTTTCAAAGCCAATGCCTTGCGCCCTTTTTTGTATCAGATGGCTCAGGAAATAGATTTCGGGAAAATCTGTTTTATGGTCACAGTAGCACGGAACATTTCTCAGACTTTTTTGCATACATATTGTATCCTTGTTATAGAAACTTAGAGATTATGACAAATATAGAAAATCATCACATGCATATTGTTTTCTTAAAGAAATAAAGAAAGCATATATAAACATATTTTTTGTTCTTCATCTGATCACACTATGCAATACACCTTAATAATTTACTTGTGATGGTATTGACCTAATCTGTTTATTACCAATACTTTTTTATTTTTCCTACATGATCAATGCCATTTCTTGCTTGCAGAATGTACCATTTTACTTGAGATTTTCCTGTGAAATCTGTTTTGTTATGCTTAACAGATTTACAGCATAAGGGCTGGGTAAAAAAAAAAGAAAAAAGAAAGTGGAATAGGAACATTGACAGAGAACACTGGACTTCAAGCTGGTCATCGTTTCATCTTCAAGTAATGATGTGTCTTGCATAGCCAACATAGACATTTAATCAATAGCCTAATTGTTCCACTTCTGCAGCTCTTGGTAGATGGCAGGGTAATGCCTTTTAATCAGTTGTGTATCAATCTGTAAGCCGAGACAGTGCATTTATATATTAAATTGGATGAAAATGGTATGTACACATTAATAAATAATGGGCAATATTTTACAGTTTATAGCTAGCTCTTTCATGCTACAGAGGACCCAGAGAGGCCTTTCAAAAAATAATAATGGAGTCTACCCAAAATATTATATTATTATTATTTATGTCTACGCAGTCTTCCTGGCAGAATAATGAAAACATTTCCCTGTTTCTCTTGCTTAAGAGTGAGACTTAATTCATGATCTGGCATTTTGGATATAAAGGGTAACTATTAGTACAGAAGTTATTTGTACAGTATAGCAGTTTGTTTGCCTGACTGCAGTGCCCATTAAGAGAGTTTTATATCTTTTACGCTCTTCCAGTAAGCAATCTTTCCTATCCCCAATCCATTGTCAACAGTAAAGTAAGGCTTATTTTTCTAGTTTCCATACTTTTAGCATCAATTTGCTTCTCTATATCTTTTAATGGACAGATTGCATCCTACTACCAATTAGTCCAAAATGGTCACTTTGTAGTGATTCTTACTATTTATTTTATTAACACCTACAACACTGAAAAAAGAGGAATTTGGAGGCACACCCGATACATGCATATCTAAGTATTTCCCATACAAAATACAGTGGAACAGCACGCACAGAAGAAAAATATAGTTTAAAATTTTATAAGGCTACTTAAAATCACCTATCTTAGCAAACAAATATGGGCATTCGGTTCCACCATATGGCCATTCTGTGTTAATCCCACCACTACGTCACAGTACCCCAATATCAGTGGGTCCTACACTAATTTTAATATCGGAGATTAACATGCTAACTGCATTGCTTACTGCTGAAACTGCCTCCAGAGTCTCCCCGAGCTGTTATAGTGAATATATCTGGTTGCTTTTAGCAGTCATTGATGGGAGCATTACTGCTTTTCTTGGATACCCTAATGCTGAGAATTATTTAACCATACCTTACAAGCACTTAGGTTCACACTGGCTACAACAAATAAAACTTATAATACTACAAAGAAAGTGATTTCCATCTCCGCAATTTTCAACATATCTTTACGAAAAGCAGAAAAATGGAGGGACCATACCGTTATTCTGTTACTCGGTTAGTTAAAAATATGTTTAACATAAACATGCTCTCGCTCTCTCTCTCTCTCTCTCTCTCTCTCTCTCTATATATATATAGTGACTTGGAGTTATATAGGTAGGTCTTGCTTACTCCAGAGTGCAGACTTTGTCACCAGTAGGGGGCATCTGATGTGCAGGCATAATACAAGCAATGTTTACATGTATGGATAGCCACTGTAAATAAATAGAAGATTTATTGTATATTTATGTAATTCACATTCACCATCTTGCAGCAATTGAATATATTAAAGGATCGGAAAAAAAAACAAAGAGTTGTGCAATATTGCATTTTGATTAGAAAAAAAGGATGTGTAAGCAAATTGTTACTCACTTATTGCAGGTAATCACTCCAGTTAACCAGCTGAAATCTTTCTTAGAGAATCACAGAATTCCCAAACTATAGATAAACCAGCAATCAATGGCATTTCATGTGGATTTAAATGGATGCACTAGTATTTACTTTATTTCCCGTCCACCAGGTTGCACACCTGCTATTGGTACATGGCCAATGAAAGAGTTGTAGGCAAAGAAGACAAGTGTGGAGAGAGACCTATCCTCCTAGGATTCCAGACATTAATCAATGCTAGCTTGTGGTGCTGATGGTGGAAGTGAGGCAGAGCAGGAAGAGAGAGTAGAGTGCTGCCCTTTGGAGAGAGCAAGAGACAGAAGATTGAGAGTGATATAAAGTGACTCCGAATTACAGCCCTGTGACATTCCCATATCGAATATTTGAGTATCTGATGTCTTATAAATCTCTGCCTGGGGTGAGGTGAGCTCAATACCTATTCATATTTTGTCCAAATACATCTTTCAAATTATACTACATATTGGATGTTTCTACTGTTTTTATCTTCCCGGAGGAAAAATTCCAGCAAGAAATAGTGGTGGGATGCTGCCCTAAAATCATACCAGTCTTATTTACAGAGCCAATAATATAGGCTCTTTAAAATGTGAGTGACCCATTTCTTACTTCATTTTAATCCACACAGTGTTACAATCTGCACTATATTATATATTTTTTATATCTTTCATATCTGTACTTGACGTATACGACTTAAACAAGATTCTATAAGGCAATCCATCAACACCTATAGCGCTCCACTTAAGGTATATGTATACCAATTTTTTCTGTATAAAAGAGTAGATGTTAATGTTAACGTGGACATTGCAGCCTCGTACTGGAAGAATGTGCCAATATGAAGGTTTGTATGTCTGGACAAATACAGAAGATATATGAGAAGCTCCTATAAAGCTGGTAACACCTCTAGGAAAGGGCATAATAGGAAAAGTTAATCTGAAGTACATATTCCCAGGTTGGCTGACAAGTTCTACCACCTAATTAAAATATTTTCAGGACCCGGGAGAGTTAAGGAGTGAAGGAAGACAAACAAACTGCAGATTCCTGTGAACTTTGTTATGCTTTTTATATTATTTAACAACTACTATTCTGATCAATCTGGTTGTATTATGTAACATATCTCAAGATGCAAATACAATTTTGGGTTTCTCAAAGAATCAACATTCATATTAATGCTAATTTTCATTAATAGTATTGTACCTCTTTGGTAAGATATCCTACTTTCCATACAATATGCACTGTGAGAATGTATTTTTTTTTTAGCTGAATCATTTTTTAAGAAACAAGCTATTTTTAGTAAAAGGATCATACAAACCAAAAAAACATTATAATGGGCCAGTGTTGTACTGCAAAATATATTCTTATTCTAAATATTATACATATTGTTTTCAATAAATTGATGTGACATTTTTTTCATGGACCAAGTGAGAAAAACTTAACTTATAGAGAGAAAAGCAGTAGTAGTAAAAATCTTTATTTATAGGGAATTTATTTATTAATATATAATACATAAATAAACATTTTTTTTAATGACTTTTTATTCCTCTATTGTTTACTTCTCGTTTGACATGTTAATAAATATCAATATTTAGTGACTGTCCCCTACCAATCAATCATCTATTTTGCCATCAATAATCTCTTTTTTTTTTATCAACCAGGGGCATAATTGAGGATCCCAAATTAAAAATTACATGCTTGGACATTGCGCGTTTGGTTTGGTGGGTGATTCAACTGCATACGAGCTCGGAATCTGGGAATCCAATCAGCCCAAATTTACATAAATTGCAGTTCAGAATCAAACATATCTCCAAGTCTTATATCTGGTTCACAAGAAACAAAAACACACACAGACAAATAAATATATACACACACTTACAGTGAGCATGTTCATAAATATTCCTTAGTTTCAAAGACCGTTTGGAAGGCACATATTTAAGTAATCTTGGTAATACAATACTGCATAACTCACTCTTATCATGCCACTTATCAAACACTGTCAGTTTTTGTAAAGGATATTTCTGCTTATTAACATAATGAACATCACAAAACAGCGATTACGTGTTTTTTTTTTTACTTAATATGTCCCCAGCCTGACATCTGGTGGCTAACCATAGATCTTGTTTTTTCTTTTGCTCAGTGATACATTATAGCACTGGGAGTGATTATTTTCTTAGATTTCAGAGAAAGTCATAACAAACTGCTGATTAATCTATCGCAGGCCCATCTGGTACATGCTGGGTTAAAGATGTCATATAACTGATGTTGTTAAGTTCATGATAAAGAGGATTATAAATCCCCTGCTTTATAGGACTCAGGGAGGGGAAGATGACCGTCTTGATAAAAATGTATTTGTAGGAATGACTGGAACTGCAAAGACATAAACATTACATTGATAAAAAAAAAAAAAAAACTTTAGGGCTTCCACTGGAGATAAGGAATCTAGCTATCTTCAGATACATTACTTTATTGCTTCTGTTATTCTTCAATAATTGAAGAACTGTTTGAGAACGTTTTTTATTTTTAGAGGATGTCATAAAAGTTATTGTTCTTAGCTTTATTTACCAGAGATAGCATATTTAGAGATGGGGTTGACTTTGAGTCCAGGGTTCCAAAGGTCTAGTAGTTCTACATTTCTTTCATCTCGTTTCTTGCTTGTCCAACAAAAAGTGTAGAAAATGTATCTCTGTATCTGATATTTGAGATCTCACTATGTCTGCTTCCACGTTGGTCAACAGTAGAAGTTACTGAATATTCTTAAGAATAATTTGATTTTAATTAATTTGGGGGAGATTTGTCAGATAACACATTTGTTTGTGCAAACATATATTATTTGTGTACATTTTTCACAAATCAAGACAATACAATCCATTTGCTTTATGGTCCATTTCATTATACATATTATATAGTTATTAATTCTTAAGTTATTATACTATTTTGTGAACTGTGTTAGGCTTTTACTGATACAATGTTATTTTTTCCTGAAAATCGTATATACAAGCTGCTTCCTATTGGATGCTACTGTTGTATATAGAGTGTCACTAGGAGTCAGAGAACATATCAAGTCTTAAATGTGATACGTCCAACCATTGCACTGTTTACTAGAAATTTGGCTTGCTGATAATATGTGAAAGAATAAGTGACTTTCAACTATTTAAATTCCTACCTGTGATAATGTGATCAGAGAATTACCTTTTGCGTGCTATGATTTGGATATCTACTATAACTATAGTATTT